AGTTTTTAAGATTAATTACTGTGGCTGCATGAGAAGGTGAAAGAGAAAAGAACTGACAGCTGCCCTCTCTCTCCCTGTGTCTACACCACATTTCTACACCACGAAACAAAAATGAATTACATTAGCACGTGGATATTCAAGGAGTTCATTATTATTTTTTTTAAAGATAGTTGTGATTTAATATCTCTCATTTAGGCCACATGCCAGCAAAAAGACGTTTGAGCATCCAAGGTGGTTCTTGAGTACAAAGGTGACCAAAATCCACTCACCAAACTGCTCACAGGAATTTTGCTCCTGCCACAGCAATGTCAAAATCCAGAAGCTGAATTTCATATGTACATTTTTTAATGTTGGCACCCAGTGATGTCCTAAAATGTAATTACACGGGCAGTTCCTGGAGATCAACGGGGTCATAAGGGAAAGACCAGGAATTCTGCTTGGTGCACACCAGGAAAGCCTCAGCACCTCAGTAAAAAAAGGAACTTCAGTTCCTACATCATACAATTAAGCACAGAGAGGTGAAACCCTGATTCCTCATCCACCTGCATATTTTACACAAGTATTTTGCACTTTTCCCCATCAGCAGTGAGGGTCAGAAGGCTCTAAATCTCACACTCTGTGAGCTTTTCAAAGAACAAGCTGGGAAATAAAAAGCAATTCCAGCCATGGAAAAAGGTTTAAATATTTGGCTTTTTTTAAAATTTATTTACAGACTACTGGCAATTAATTTAAAGGCATCAGATAAGGGAGAAAATAGGCAATAGGCATTTTCTAACTTTAAAGTATATAAACAGCTTCATCAGAAACCAATCTTTTAGGTACATAAACAGCTTCATCGGAAGCCATTCTGCCAGTTACATAAAGAATCCTATTATGCCAAATTAATTCAATCTAACTAATTAGAGAGCAGGAAGTTCTTTCAATTATTTTATGTGCTGTCTGAGAAACACACTTGAATACGAGAGCAGATTTCATTAATTGCGGTTCATTATTCTCCAGATTAGTTACTAAACTTGCTTCAGAAGGTCAAAGACAGCAATTTTGTTCACTGCCACCACCTTGACTGGAATGTCTCTGCTTTTTTTTTTTTTTTTTTGAAACTGAAGCAACCAGTACAAACAAAAACAGCACCAGGAAAGATCATTTTGTGAAGGTAATTCGGTGTGTGCTCGCTCGCTTTAAGGTTGATGCCAGTCTGAGCAGTGGTACAACTGAAATGAAAAGCAGCTAAAATAAAATAAATAAAATAATAAAAAAGGGTATTTTGTATTTTCTCTGCTTCTTTTTTAAACTAAAGCAACCAGTACAAACAAAAACAGCACCAGGAAAGATCATTTTGTGAAGGTAATTTGGTGTGTGCTCACTTGCTTCAAGGTTGATGCCAGTCTGAGCAATGGCACAACTGAAATAAAAAGCAGCTAAAATAATAAAATAATAAAAAAAAGGGTATTTTCTCAACGACTGATAAGAACTGATCTCTTGTTTACTCACACAGAATCAGAGATTTGGCATCACATCCACTTGGAATGTTGCTTTGGTCATGATGAACTTAACTTCAGTTATAAACCTGGGAAAGCTGAAGTCCTGTTCCCTTGGAAATGATGCTCAGAAGCACTAAAATCACCTTTAGCCATAAGATCCTGCTTACAAGGAGCACCAAAATGCATCTGAGGCTTTCTGCAGAGCTGTACAGCCACCTAACCCTGATAATTCAATTATACCATGTTGGAAATTTAATTCAACATCTGGGCCAGCCAGTTCACGATGGTTCACCAGCATTTTTCCAGAACAGGTTTAAATGACATTAGATAATTAAGTACCATCAAATAATGTATCAAAACATGCACTGAAAAAGGAGCTTGACAAGAACTTCGGACCTTCTCTTTCCCTGTAGTTGTTTGAGGAATCAGGGGAAAGTACTAAATGGATCCACTTAGATTTTTGGTATTTATGCTCAAAAACCTGTTGTTACATATCAGCTCATTTGCTTTTCATAGAATCAGAGAATATCTTGCTATGGAAGGGACTTACAAGGATCACTCAGTTCAACTCCTGGCCCTGCACAGACACCCCAACAATCCCACCCTGTCCCTGAGAGGGTTGTCCAAATGCTCCTTGAGCTCTGGCAGCCTCAGGGTTGTGACCACTTCTCTGCAGATCCTGCTCCAGTGGCCAACCACCCCCTGGGTGAAAAACTGATAACCAACCTAAACCTCCCCCCAGATCTCAGCTTTTAGCTGGAAAGGATGATTTAGATCCTTCCATTTGCTTTGTCATTTCTAATTCCTGAACCTTCCTCTCCCAGTTTGTTGTTTACAGCGAGAAAACTCCATCACTTCCCAGCTGGGGGTCAGATTCCTTTGCAATTAAAGCTGAAAAATCCTTTTGGCTTCTCCTTCCCTTTATACTTTTGTAGTTCATCACTCACCTACTCCCACCTTGCACATTCATTTATGTCCCCTGCCACTGTGCACTGAAGTTTTATCCTTCCACAGCACACATGATGCCCTGTTCTGTATTCTCTGAGACCCAGAAAGATCATTTTTGTGTCCTCTCCGTGGCACAGTTTCCTACAGCTGCCCAGGAACTCCTGGTTGGCTGCCCTGCTGTGGCAGGTAAGCGATGAGGTGTTAACTCTGCCTGCCCAGCAGTGACCCCCAGAGCCCCCACGTCCCCCCAGGCACCAGGGCCATCCATCACCCCCTCCAGTTCAATTCCTCTGCCCACATTTGCATCCTCAGGCCATTAGAAAGGAACAGCAAGAAAGATTATGAGAGGGGATATTTATGATCTTCCAGCCGGCCCTGCTGCAACAGCACCTCTTTATTTTTGTGCTGCACAAATTCTCAGCTAATTCTGGAGCAGTTCCTTCTGATTTTGCTCTCTCTTCTTTCCTTAGGTTGGGATTAGGGAAATATTCTTCCCCCAGAGGGTGGTTGGGCACTGAACAGGCTCCCCAGGGCAGTGGGCACAGCACCAAACCTGGCAGAGCTCAAGGAGGGTTTGGAAGAGACAGGGTGGGATTTTGGGGTGTCTGTGCAGAGCCAGGAGCTGGACTTTGATCCTCGTGGGTCTTTTCCAACTCAGGATATTCAGTGACTCACTGGGATTTCTAACAGAGAGTGAAGAAACCATGTTTCCTTACAGACAGAGCTCCAAAGAATACGTAGAAACCTCTCACACCACTGGATTTGTAACACAACTGATTTGTTCTATTACAAAACTAGAGAATAATTTTACCATTTCGTTATGTTATACAGATCTAATGGTCATGGAAAAACCTGGTTTGCTCCCCAGTGCAACCAAGCATTAAAGCATCACACTCCTCTTTATAGATCAGCTCTTATCTTTTTAAAAACCAAAGCATTTATAGCATTTTCCCTCCTATTAAAAAGTGTTGAGATCATGATCTGATTGACTTTCCTTAGTAATCCATAACAGAAATTAAAATCTCTTTAAAGAGATGTCTCTGTAGTTTAAAAAGTGACTTCCAGACAAACAATACATGACTGATCTTGAACAGTAAAGGAGTGGGAACAGGTGGTTAGACTAGAGACAGGAAATTAGGCCTCATTTCTCATCTCAGCTCTCATTGGTTCAGTAGGAATTCAAGAAGGTGTGAAAGGCTCTCACTGCAATTGTAAAGAGCATCTATTTGCATCTTTTGATACCCAAATACCTGTAAAGAAAGCCACTGTCTTCATTTTAATTCCCCACATTTCATAAATGAGTAAGTTTATATGATTCCAGTCTCAACACCAAGCAAAAGGCAACATGAGAAGGCAAAGCATTAAATTAGATAAGTAAAATTTGCTCCTTTTGTTACTTTGTAGAGAATAAATCCCCAGTCAAACCAAAAATATTTTAAATCTGCCTTATTCTCATTTGTGCTACATGTGTAATAAGTTACTTCTAAAAATACTTAAGTGCTAGTGGATTTATTTTTGCTCTATTTACTTAATATTTACTGTACTTTTATGATGCCAAAACAACTTCCTGGGATGTTCTTGCAACGGCAAGTTTATCTGTAGCAAAAATGCAACAGAATGCCTGGATACAACCACAAAAAAAAGAGTTTTTCTGAGGATTTCAGGGTTTATTCTGCTTTGTTTTGAGAAAGATACTCCTTAAAACACTTTGTCTGCATGGCAAGGGGTGAGGAGAGGTCTAAGTTAACAAGTTAGGAGCTTCCAGAACTTCAGACAAGTTGACAGTAGAATGACCTGGGTGGTTAAAGCAGGGACAGAATAGACCCCCCAAAACTTTAACATGAGATCTGGCTCCAGATTTATCTTCACAACAGTTTGTTAAACCTTCCAGATTTACACTACAGAGAACTATTGCTTTACAAATAAACCAGAACCTTGCAAATAAAGGAGATGATATTATTTATAACGGGATTCTGTGTTTCATCTGATGTTTTTCTCAAAGACAGGAGCTTTATTTTTAGTCAGCTTGACCATGCATTAACTCAGAGCACAGAAGCCACATCTGGAGCAGGTGGAGCTTTGCTGCCCAACATCCAAAACAATAAGGGAATCAAGTATTTCCCTGACACGTGGAACAGATGAGAATGAACAGAAGCAAGTGCCCAAAGTACAGAGTAGAAGATGGTAAAAGGTGACAGGAGCTGGGGTAACGGGTGGGAGGGAAGGGCATATGAAAGAACAAATTAAAAATAGAATTACATTTCCCTCTTGGCAATACCCAAACAACACTAAGTGCACTTCATAAATTTTACTATTGTTGCTGCGAGTGGGAGCCCCATAAATCACCCTGGGAGTGGAGCTGGCACTTGTAAAAAGCCAAGTGGGCAGAGTGTATCAATAAGTTCAAACATCTCCACCATCTCTGGACAGTGGAGGGGAAATGCATCACGAGGCTTTGCTGTGACTAAAAGCTTGGTTTGCTCTGCAACAACATATAAAACAGCACTTTGCCAGCAAGTCTAACAGCACTCACCAAGATTGCTGCAAAGCCTGGGTGATTTAATGCTTTACCTGCTGGGCAAGGGGAGAGGTTTGCCTGCCCTTTTTTTCATCTCTAACAGGAAAGAGAGACTTCAGCAGCTTTGGCATCTGAGGCACGAAGGACTTGACAGGATTCAGGTAGGAAGCAGCCAGGCTACCAATACCTGTTGGAAAAAAATAACATTACAAAATTACAATAGTTATTATTTGGGGAAAGAAAAAAAAATAACCAAACCCAACCCAACCCCCCCCCAACAAAATTTATCACACTATTATCTTTTTAGTGTGTGATGACATCTTCCAGTGGTCAAAGAATTAGCCAAGGAAAAGCACTCTCTGAGAGCAGCTCAGCTTTATCTGGCACTGCAGTAGCTTCACCACACTTTCAGGGAAGTTCTCTCAGCTGTAAGAATTTCTTTACCTGGATCAGGAGAGTGGTTTTGCTGCCCAGAGCCCGGCAGGGAGGTGCGAGATGGACTAATGCCTCTACTGGAATTTGTGGCACCTTGGGACACATCTTGCTGACTCTCCCATCGACCCTAGAGGGGGAAAAAAGTTGTATTTTTCCAAGATGGTACCCCCAGCAAGAGCACAGCAATACTGAGACCCCACACCAGCCTGCACAGCCCCTTTGCAAAGGTCAGAATTCCAGAGCTGAGGAAAGACCCTTCCACGGAGGCACTTTCAGGTGGAAGACCCAGCCCTGCAAAGATGGAGCACCCTCAGCATAAAGGCACAGGAAAAGTTTATTTATAGGCCTCAAAGCTGTGATATTTCACTCAACTGAGTTTTGGAAGTTGAGAATGTTACAACCAGGTGAAAATATAATACTGTCTACCCAAAATTCCTGAATGTTTTGCGTATCTACTCATGAGTGGGGTCTGGATGTAGTGTCAGAGAGGGGTGAGGACACACAGAGCTCTGAACAGGACAAGAAACACAAGACCTAAAGGCTGCATGTTTGTGCCTGGAGTCAGAGAAAGGATGAGCTCAAGATGAACAGGAAGTAACTGGAGTACTGCAAGTTTTCTAACAGCCTGGAAAAGAGAGAGATGGAATACAAAGAACAAGCTGTGGACACCAGAAGCCAGGAAAAAGATCCATCAAAGACAGGTTAGAGTTTTGACATGGTTAGTGAAGATGAAACATGACTTCAGACCTAGAAGAGGCTGAGTGGAGATGAGGTAGGGAGAAGCAGAGACTGAGAAGCAGCAGGTCATCTGCCTTCCCAAGATCCCAGGGTTCTCTAGTTGGGTTTTCTCATGGATCCCAAAGGAAGGTGCACACCATTCTGCACATAGGGGGGGATTTCTCTGGCTTTTACAAAGGTCCACTGTGGTTTTCATCTCAACCTTAGAGCCAGAAACTGGCTCAAGGACAAAGATCTTGGCTAACAGGGAGAATCCCCAAGCACTATTTCACATCAGCACACGGGTGTCAAGAATCCACGTGGCCAAATCCGTTTTTCCCCAACTCTATCATCCTTAATAGGTAAAATTTATCTGCAATGATTACACCAAGTGACTGCCCAGAGTGTGTCTCTGCTGGAAGTTTCATGTGGATACAGGACAGTGAATTCCTTCACCAATCTGAGCACATTAGTTGTGCAGAGGCACCAAAATCCACGTGGTTGTCCTGCAAACTTTTGATGGGAGGCACACATGCAATGCCTGCCAAAGCAGCTCCTTCTAATTTACTTAATTTATAGGAGACCTTAAGGCAATTCAACATCCATTTATGAGTCTAGGGGTCAAAAGCATCCAGTCTCAAGTGCTACAAGAAATCTCAGTGTTTCGTGGAAAAAGTCCTCTCAGGAAAAAACTTGGAAAGTTTCACCTTTCCAGAAAACAGAGGTTGCAAGGACAGGATGGTGCAGTCAAACTGATTTTATCCCATTTTTTCAAAGAGTTTTTCTATGGCTGGTACAACATCTCTACTCATCTGGGTTATACTGTACCTAAACCTTGATTGTTTCTTAAAAGACATAACAGAAATAAAAATACTTTTGCAGTGAGATGGTACAGTGAACATACTCAAAAGGAGCAACAAGGGATGGATGGACCTGCTGCATCCCAGAGCAGAAGTTTAATATCTTTTTTTCCTGGAAGAAGGGGGGGGAAACTGCCTTTTCAAGAAGCTTCACACTGTTGGATGCAAGGAATTAATCTGACCTTGAATGGAGAAACGACAGGCAGCTAAACTATTCTTAACTGTAACTCCAAGCCATGAATGTTTCACAAATAATAAATAAGCCAGGGTAGGAGGAATAGATTTCTCCAATGGGTTGAAGGTCACAGTGAGCAGCCCAGGGCAAAAATCATTTCCATTTGGATCTATAGGTTAGTCCCATCAAAGCTCCCCTGCTTTGAATAGCAAGTAACTTGCACTTTGGCAGGACTTCAGACCTCGACCAGCTCACATCCCTCCTGCTGGATGCAGAGACAGGGGCTGCATCTGTGAAGTAAAATTTGGGACAACTAAAGGCTAATGGATGTCTGAGTTCTGAGCCATCCTGAATGTCCAACTGAGAGAACCCAGGCTGGGACCAGCAGTGACACACCAGGGGTTTATTTAGTCTTGTGGTTTTGAGGACTTGGGTGTTTAAGCCCTTCCTGCTCTACCAGCACAGATGGCAGAGCTGTTCTACCCATACCTTCAGCCCCCACCTTCAGCACTGTCTTTGACCTGCAACTCATTCATGTCTTACATCAAAAAGTCTGGAAAATTCCACCAAATGCTTCTGTGAAACAGTCTCTCCTACTCCTCATCCACAAACTCCTTTTAGGCTTTTGCAGTCTTGTGTTTCTATGAGTGCAGGTTTCTTTCAGGTGGCCTCACCACGTGCAGCCTTGTCCCACTTCTCTCCATTCCAAATACTGCTTCAGAGACTGCTTTTCTCATCCTGATATTTTAAGAATTTCACGTGCAGACACTGAGAGCCATCCTGGAAAGAGCCAGCAACTTCAGACTGTGTTCAACCTGTCTTTTCTTTTTGGGATGTGAAATATTTCCTGAAGTCTCTGGCTCCCACTGGTGAATTAGTTTGCAAGAGAAGAGTCAAAACCATGCGAAAATGGTTCATACTCTCTGCAGACCAGGAAAATATCTCATATAATTCAGTATTTTTTAGAGGCACCAGCTCAGTGGTGCTGGAGGAGTTTAATAAAAAAATACAAGACTCAAAACAAACCTCAAAAGACTCAAAAAAAATCCTAAAATACCACTTGGTTTTGTTGCCTTCTGGTCTGTTCTGCCACCAGCCTGGCAGATGTTGGCATTGGATTAAGAAAAAGAACTATGGAAGAGTGAAAAGCATCTGAAAGCTTTGTTTTTGGAGGACATAACAAAGCTTGATTAGTGTTCCTTTTGTATCTCAGACAAATGGATAAAGGTGACATGTCTTAAGCCAAGTCTAAGTGCTTCTGGAGACCACAGAGACATAAGAAACAGTAAGGATATTACAAATACTAAGAATATTCCAGCTTACTAGGACATGGGCTCAGTGCAGGTAAGGAGCAACTAAATCATTTCCTGAATCATGATTTGTTGAGTCAGAAGTGCCCTTCACTGACTGTACCAAGAAAAATTAGTTCAGGCAAGTCTCTTGACTTTCTACCCTGTTTGGGAAGGATGAAAAAAAATGGAGTAGGTAAAAATCAGCAAAACACTTTCAGAATATTCATTTCAGAATGGCAATGTTTAGTGTTTAGTGTTATGTTTAGGGACTTTTTCCTTAGGAAAAGCCTTTTTTCTCAAGATCTTTTGGAAATTTTGCTTTAGCTTTCATACCATGGATGACTACATTTTCTACAGGATTTTAAGTATTTTTCCAGGTTAAATAAAATGAAGACAGGAATATGCCTTGAGAAAAGGCATATACTGATCATATACTTTAAGCATGTTGAGTTTCCAAATAACACTTGCTTTGGAGAGAATGGAAAGATCATCATTTTGGACTGAAGGTCAGATTTGAGAGGCTCAACTCCACGATGAAAGCAAACCATTAAAATCAGGTCAATCAGGGCAACAGATGCAGAAACATTTGCAAAAGAAAACACTGGAGACAACTGAAAGGGTCAACTGTTGTGCACAGAATCTGCAGAGGCAAGAGGTAGTTCATGAATGACTGATTTTACTAAGCTGGGTTGAAAGATAATCCATCTCAAAAAAAAACAAAAACAAAAAGAATTATTAACTATATTAACTTGATGAAGTTCCCAAGTTTCCCATCTGCACTGAAAGACTTAAAACCTTAAATCTAAGCAATGACTATTATTTAAGTGCTGTGAATCTTTCCTCCATCAAGAAGGGTGGTGAGAGAAAGAAAGGAAGCTTGTAAATCATTTGCCCAGAGGAGCCATCACTTCATGAATATATTTGGTCTCTGCCAAGTGACCAAACAGAGGTCAAGTGACTTAAATTAACAAATCAAAAATAGCCACCAGAAGAATGTGTGTCCCTTGATGTACTTTAAAGCAGAGCTGTTTATAAAGGGGTTTGTTTCTCTAATGCCTTCTCCTTCTTCTCCTCTGCCTTCCCTTCTTTCACACATCCTCCACGAAAACCCCCAGGGAATTTATTCCAGGTCACCCCCAACATGCACAAAATCTTTAGGGCAAACAGGGCTGATCACTACCTGAGAAATCTGTAGGCTTTACCTGACAAATCTTTTCTTGAGGTTGACAGACCATTAAAAATGCAGGCACTGGGTAAGAGAAATGAATAGTTCTTGTGTTTTTATTATTTTAGCAGTTCAGCAAAGGCTTAGGAAAAGGTGACCACGTAGCACTTAAATACAAGCACAGAGCTGGGACACACAGCTGGGACAAAGGCACTTGTTCTCATGAACAGCAAGATTATTCAAATTCAATCTACCTGGTATCAATTTGCTGAAAAAAAACTCTGGTTCCCAGAAAAACCTGAAGGTTAAGTGGCACAATCTTGTCTTATTTGGCTTTTGAGCTACACATACTGGACATTTGGGAAAGGAGGGGTGACTGTCCAAGACAGGATGGCTCTTTGTGTAAAGGTGTTTTAACAACAACTCATGAAATTTTTCATCAGTATGTGATTTAGTCTGAGGAAGACCTGCAAAACAAGTCAGAGGTGCCTTCCATTCTTTGTGCATCTGATTCATCCAGCTAAGTCAACTCAGTTTTTAAATTCGGTTTCCAAGTAAATTTAATTAACTTAAATTTCCAACGCGAGCGCCCCGGAACACAAAAATTCATCTCCGTGTCTTACATCACTACTGAGACACTCTGTGCTCCTGCATCACTGACATGTGCTGATGTGCAAGAAGGAATCAAATTCATCTCACTCTCCTGTAACCATATCTGTGGTGATAACAGGAGTAAAAATTGGCTTTTTCTTATTTAAGCAAGCAGATGGAACTTAAGAGGTGGGACCACATGGAGTCCTATTAACAGAATATGAATAGTCCATCAGACTGTCTTCTGAAGTGAATTTCAAAGGTGTCTCCTTGCCTTCTCAGCCAGTTAAGCAGCTTAATTTTATGAGTTATTATTTTAAAAAAATCCCAGTGGAAGCTCTCTGTGGTGTCAGCACACAGAGATATCCTTTAATGTTTTTCTTCCAAAATGTGCCAAACCCACACCTCTGTTCCAGTCCTGGAGAAGGGCTTTTCCAGCTCTTCATGGAGGTGTGATCATCCATCTATGTTTTTAGAAAAAATCAGTCAATTGTGTCTGCAAGATGAATCCAGGCCATAATTCTGGAAACTTCCAAGCTGCCCATTTTAGTTGCACCAACACCATCTTTACTTCTTATCCCAAACTGTTCAATATTCTTGTCATTGAGGGGAATGAGTCCTGGCTCTTCACAGTGCTGGAGAATGAAGCAGCATCCACATTCCAAACTTTACCAGCATGGATGGTGCTCCATGTAAGAAGAATGAGACTCAAGAGCCCCTTCCACAAAGCTAAAAATCCATGGTAAAGACAGCAGGAATGCAAGGAACAACCATGTTAAAAATAGAGAGAGAAATGAAGTCATGGAATAAAAGTTAAGGAGAGGAATAATCTGGAACATATTGAGGCCTCCCACTAATATGAAATAATTAATTAATATTAAGTACACAGGTTTGACACATTAGTTCTGCACCCAATTCTAGGTGCTGTTACTACCCTGTGACTGGTGTTTCTTATGATATAATATATCCCTTGTTTAGATTAACTTCCCATAGTTATTTGTAAACAACACCAAATTCCTGGGAAAATAACAATACATGAATATTGGAGAAGACTTCTTTTCTAACCAACTCTCTCAGCAAGTGACAAAGACACCCAACTTAGCCAAAGCTCTGCCTATCAAGCCATTCTCAGGTCCTTTATGCTACAACAGACAGGACTGATATCACCAGTGAGCTTTATGATGTCTGTGTGCTACAGGAACATTTAAGAACTTGTTTAATATTTCACTGTGATTACAAAAGCTTTTGTTCATCTCCCTATGGAAACTGGACCATTGAATCACAGAATGGTTTGGGTTGGAAGGGACCTTAAAGACCATCTCATTCCACTCTCCTGCCATGGGCAGGGACACCAGAGATCCATTTGAAGCCACAAATTTCCAGCTGAGGAGTTTGCACCCTCCATGTCCTGAGTAACAAGTGCCTTGAACTGAAGCTCATTGCAAGCAAAGGGATGATCCCCACCACCCCAGCTCCACGTTCCTGCAGTACAACAGTGTCTGTCAGCACCTACAACCACAGGAAGAGCTGCCAAACCTCATGCAAGCCACTACCAGCTAACTCCAGTTCACCAAAACTTGGGACAAAGAGTCATTGCTCCGGGAGCATTAACATGAAACTAAGGATAAACGTGTTTTCCATTGGCCCAGTGTTACTTTAAAATCATTAGTTCATAGAAACCAAGAGCTGTTCACACTGAACTACAAAAGCCATAAAGCTTGAGAAGGATTTGGAAGGAAGTGTTAGGGTTTATCTCATCTCCAGGCCAATGTCCACATGACTGGTAGATATTTATATATTTGCTTGCTTTCATGTCTAATTTTTTTAGCTGAGATGGGGCCATTTCCAAAATAACTTCACCATGCCCAAAATCTGGGCGAAATGGCACAAAACAGCTCCAGCTCTGTAACAAACCATCAGATGCACCCAAGGAGAAACTTCTCTGCTTTGTACCAGTTCACTCTGCATTAATGACCAGCTTTTCAATGGAAAAACTCCTTTGCTGTGCACTATGCAAACGAGGCACCACCAGCAGCATCTTCAAAGCAGGAAATAAAAGCACGTGAGTGAGCAAAATAAACTTTATAGTGAGATAAAATTATTATCCCACTCATTAGGTGGACCTAATGCATTACCTCTGCTGGGACCTTTGGACTCTGAAACATGCAATGAGAGAAATCATTGAGGGGAAGGGAGGAGAAAAACAGAAATCATTAAGAGCTCTGCCCTTTAAGTTTTGGCTTTCCAAACCTACAATATTGAAGCATCCCAGAGTTGTCTCCAAATAGAAGTTGCTATAAGCACTTTATCACCTGCACATGTTTTAGCATTCCCTACATGGATCAGATGTAGCAGATTTAGCAACCAAAGCTGGAGCACTACATCAAAATTCTATTATTCCATGCAACTGCATTATGCATTAAAATGCCTTGTCACCACCAGATTCTCCCCTTTAAAATGACTACAAGCTTGCTGGGCAGAATATCTATCAGGAGGGGACCTTTCAGTTTATCTAGGATTTGGAAAATAAGTTTAAATTTAATCTTTCCCCTTTTAAAGAAATACTTTGGATCTATCCTGGTGATTTTACAGAGTGGGATGGGCTGAATTATCACCCACCACAAGTCTAAGGCCACTGGAAGGTCAGAGACTCTCCTCATAGGACTTTTCTGTCCTGGATGTTGACCTGAACTTATATATGAACCCAAATCTGTCCCATACTCCCAGAAGATTTGCATCCACAGAGGTGACAGCTTTAGAAGAGCTCTTTAGCTTGACAATGCCCTTGTACATCCCACAGTGCTTGGGATGACAAAGACCTGGGAATTTTCCCAGAGAGGTCTAGTGCAGCACATCCAGACCTATTTACATCCTAGGAACAGTCCCAAGGATACAGGAGCACATGGATGTTGCCCCTGTTTTTTTACAGATGTTTCCCAAAGCTCCTGTAACTGGTGTAGTGGAGTCACTTCCTTTTTCCTACTGAAGATTCCCAGGATTTCCTGCAGGTACTCACCCGGTTACTGCTCAGGTTGTAAGGGGGTGCTAAATCTTGGCGGCTTGCAGAGAGCTGAAATAGTTAAGAAAAGTCGAATTATTTCTCAACAAGAACTTAAAGAACTCATAAATATTCCTCTTGGCTAATAAGGCTGAAAAGAAATAGTTTTGTGGTTAGAGCAGAACTGAAATCCAAGAGAGAAAAGGTGAAATCTCAGTTATTGACCTGGGAGGAGCCACAATTTTAGACTAGTTTGATTACCAGTTCTATCAAAGGATTTATTTCCAAATTTTGGACAGCAGAAGACTCATTTTTCTTATGCACAATGCTGTTACAAACTCTAAGTTCAGTAAATACTTGTAACTTCAAATCTTCTAAAGAAAAAGGGAAAAAATTCTTCAGCTTGGCAAGTAAATGAAAAATCTCTGGTGTTCAGAAAAAAAAGATGCAAAGTTCTTTTTATGTCGCTTTTTCAGATATTCCAGATTTAGGGAGGTGCTTCCAAGCACACTTGCCTGCGTGATGAAAGCAGGATTACGTGCAGGTTTTGTCTGCACTTTGATCTCAATCACAAATAGCACAGAAGGGTCAAAAAGAAGGAAATTCATTGCTATAGTCCATGACTTTGGCATCACAAGGACCTGGAATTGAAAGAGTGGACCTGCTGCAGATTCCAGCATGGAATACTCACCCTGTTCACGTTGGGAGAGCTCAGGCTCCTACGGTAGAGTTTTCCTTTTCCCATTAGCTGCTCTTTCACAGCAACTTCCTGCCAATCACAGAGGAGCAACACAAAGGAAATATGATGTTTTGCAAGAATTTAAGCCCTGATCATCCCAGGATAGTTTTGTCTATATGAGACAAATACTTCTAAACTGCCTTTTTTGCCCAGGCCCCTGCACGTAAAATTTTCTGTAATACAAAATCTGTGTATAAAGTGGCTAAAATTTTAAGAGTGGATAAACTTGAACATCCAGTATTTTGCTGACTGGCACATGCAGGATTTTACAGCTAGTCCTGATTCTAGGAGATGACAGAGATGCAAAGACTGACTTCCTTTTCCAAGCTGAGCTCCTATTTTAATCCTTTAAACTAATTATAAATGACAGGAAACTTGCTTTCAGTATTTAGAGTGCATCACACTTCACCGTGAATTTATAGCGGGCAGGCACAAGCTGGAGCTTGTTTTGCATAACTTTTCTTTTGTGCTTGCATAATTCATACCCAGAAGAACAACTTTCCATAAATGTTTTTCTCTCCTGCATTTTTCCTGGTAAACAGATCGAGTTATAGTACTTAAAATTAACCCAATCAATGTCTTTTTTATTGACAGAATGGGTTTGGTTACTTCAAGGTAGAACATGGGGAAAAATGACAAGAAATCTACTGGTAACTTCAGAACTGCTACTAAAGCCTCAGAAAGCAAAAGCTAATGCCATACAAGTATTTTTTCTGAACCATAATGCAAAGACTGAAAACCAAACCAAGAATCCCATAACAGTGCATCCAATATAAAAGTCCCAAACATATCTGTGCTGCAGGGAGTTCAGTGAGGACATCTCTGCAAGGAGGGCTACATCTGCTTCCAGGGATATTTGCCACAGGTCCACTTTGGGACAGAATGGGTTTGGTTACTACAAGGTAAGATGTGGGGAAAAATGACAAGAATTCTACTGGTAATTTCAGAACTGCTACTAAAGCCTCAGAAAGCAAAAGCTAATGCCACACAATTATTTTTTCCTGAACAATAATGCACAGACTGAAAACCAAACCAAGCATTCAATACAAAGCCCCATCCATCCTGCAGGGGGTTGAGTGAGGGCATCTCTGCAAAGAGGAGCTACATTTGCTTCCTTGGATGTTTGCCACAGGCCCACTTTGGGAGGCTGAGGTGTGCACTGGAGTGGGGTTTTTGGGTTGGTTGTTAGCCACTGTGAGCACTTAGGAGCACACTTGTGCTGCCACAGATGTTGTCAGTGTTTCCTCTGCTCCATCCCTAAGCCAGACCTGGCGCAGCCGATCCAGGGTGAGGATGTTCTCCACGGCCAGCACGCTCCGCAGGTACTTCTCAATATAGGCCTCAGAGTCGGCTGAGGCTGCATCTTCCACGTTTGCTGCCATCCTGGCCAGTGCCTCCCTCTCTTCAGCTCCCTGAGCATCCTGGGAAGGTGAAAAGAAACGACAGCTTTTAAAATAAAACAAAAAATCTCCCGCATCGGTCCCGAAAAAAATGTGTTTTTAAACCACGCGGCACCGATTTAACGTCGCTTGCACTTAAGCTCCGGGGCAGATTGGAATCACAGAATCAGAGAATCACAGAATGGTTTGGGTTTGAAGGAACCTTATGGTTCATCCAGTTCCACCACCTGCCATGGGCAGGGACAACTTCCACTATCCCAGGTTTCTCCAAGCCCTATCCAACCTGGCCTTGAACACTTCCAGGGATGGGGAGTCCATAATGTGTTCCACGGCCTCACCACCCTTACAGCAAAGAATGTCTTCCTAATATCTATTCTAAATTTCTCCCTAATACCTAATCTAAGATTCTGATCTAAAAATAAGCCTTGTGCCATGGAACCTGCACGGCTGCTCCTACCCCTGTCGCAGACATCTCAAGCAATACCTGGTTATTGTTGGAGTTTTTTAGGGTATTTTAATCTGAGTCTCACAGCAAGACGTTGCTATTAATTAGCAAAAGGGCTGCATTCAGATATTTCATAATTAAAAAGTGCTCAAGCATTTTGGGGAGTTATCTAAACTGAGAGGAAAACAGAATTTCGAGTGTGTTGCAAGAAAAAAATAGAACGTTGCTTGAAAAACATTTCAATACAGAGTGCAAATTGCAGCAGAACACAAAAGAGTCAGGTAGCAATCAGAGTTTTGGCTCTTCATGTGTTAATGTTTTTCCAAGTGCTCTGATAGAGCATCTCTTGGAAGGAAAGGATTAGCATCTAACTAGGAACACGCTCAGGAATCAAGAGTTGCATAAAGACATCACGGAGAAAAAAGCCACTTTGTCATGTTTTACAGATTCTCATGCTCCCTACAGCAGGCACTTCACCCCCCCAGTTTTACTTCCTCTTTTCCCCCCATCTCTTTAAAATGTTTCTTCAAGGAGCTGAGCAAATAGATGCTCAGTCAACAAAATACACAGTGGCACTGATAAGACGGAGGTTGCTGCTAAGTCACAGCGTGTGAAGGAATATGCTTCAACTTTTACAAACCACAGTTGCAGCAGCAAGAGCCAGCACACTCAAAATAAGGGGAAAAGCAGAAAGTTAGAGGCTTTTAGCCCAGTTTCAGACACTCTGGTTTATTATTCACCTCTGGAATGTTTGAGACTATCTCAAAAGTGACACCACAGCCAGGAATGGAGCTTCGGGGGGACATCCTTCGGAGGAAACTCTGTGCAAAGCCCTGTGGGGAGGCAACCAAAGGAAAGCATGGTTTAACAGATTTCAGCTGAAATAAACACAGTTTGCAATGAGAGAAGTCCAAGTGGAAAAGTGCAACCAATAAATATGCAAGAGTCAAAGATTTTAACTTGGAGAAAAAGATTTGCTTGTTTGTCTTTTAGATACACGGAAAAATATTCACTCGCTTCCCTGCAAGGTGACTGCTTCACCAGCACACAAAGCATCTGCTAGTTTGAGAGGTGGGGTTTTTTTTCCCTCTAACAGAGCCCTAGGTGACTTGTCTTGAATATTGACAAGTACAGACATTAAATTCTTGACCAAAGAGATCGTTATGAAGAATGATTTAAGGGGCATGGTCATTGTTTATGCTGACTTGGCGCCTTGCAGGGTTAAGAACTGGCCTGGTGAATTAATGCAGAGATGAGTCATTCAAAGATGCTGCTGAGAACAACACCCGGGAAAGGTTATTGAGGGAGAGTTTCAGAAAAACAGCCAGAAAGCCAAAGATTCTATGTCAAATGAAGGCAAAACCCAGCATTGACTAAACCTGTAGAAACCAGAATTGATGAAGACTTAACACAATTGGAATTATTGGCATTATTGGAATTGTTTATCTGTTCGATACTCTCCCCCAGTTCTAGATGACAAAAATTCACTGGTCCCTTGCTGAGAAAAAGCTTCTGCCTGGTCAAAACACCAAGAACTGTAGTTCTCTTCCCAGCACTGGGAGCAGTTTGGATTTGCTTACAGGGTTTCTGGGTGTGACCGCACCTCTTCTCTTTGCTCTTGCTTCACATTTTAACTACACCTGTGCAACCAGAATAACAATTCAGGCTTTCTGCTTTGTCATTATCACTGCCAGGGGATTCTGAGACAATGCTGAACCAACTCTTCCTCCCCATCTTTCTCAGGATTTATGTATTTTTCAGGACATGATGCTGCAAATGGAATGACAACCTTGCTGCCTTCCATTTATCAAACACCCTGCTCTCACCTACACATTGTTGTAAGAGCACAAACCAACTGGAAAACATAAAAAGACCAAGAGCAATTAACTTCTGACAAATTAGCACAAAGAGATTTCTCCTCCAGCTATTCCTAGTTTATTTCTAAATACCTGGATGCACGAATAGAAATAGTCAGCAATGTGTGAACATGCTGCAGGAGCAGGGAAACACACACGTTTCTTCTGATGCAGTTTTGGCAAAATATGAACTTGTGAGAAATTAACTCTTCCTGCTTTAGTTTTTTGCAAAACATGAACTCCGAGCTCATGAGAAATTAACTCTTCCTACCTTTTCCAGTGCTGGGGGATAAAACACTTAGGACTTAGTACAAACATGACAAAATTTCTCACTCTTAGGTGCCTTTAAAACCAAACTGCATGATCATCCACAATATAAGAGAGACTATGAGAATGACTTGGCAGCTCAGTGTCTCCGTGGATGCCATGGACACGGTGCTTCCATTCGGGCAGAGAGGAAGGGAAAGACAGGAAAATGAGAGTCCCAGCAAGTGGCAAGGACTGGAAAAGCTCTACCTGTCTGCCATAGACGTTGACACAAATGCGCTTGCGCAGCACCAGCTGCATCTCTGCAGGGTGGCTGAGCTGGACAGTGGCTCTGACAATCAGATAAACCCTCTCATCCGCTGCCGTTCCCTTGCTGAGCTGGATACAGTCGTGGACTGTGGAATCCCAGGAGGCTTCTGCTTTCACCTGCAAAGGGGAAAAAAAAAAAATGCATCCTCTAATAAGCATAATTAGGTGTATAATTAACTATAATTAATTAAGCATAATTAGGAAAAATACATAATACATAAATTTTGAGAGTCGGCTTCTCCGTTTCGCTCCCTATGAAGAAAAAATCCCCTGCACTTTAGAAGAGGCCATTTAAAAATCAAGATTAGTTCGCCAAGTGAAGACGTTGGGATTAAAAATGCCAACTTGCTCAAACTCTGGAACATTTCCTCTTGAAAAAAGAGCTTTGAATACCCAGGATCATTGCAAATAAATTATAAAATATGCAGAACTGCAGGACCATTTGGCCTAATTTATTAAGATAAACCAGAGAGCAACAGAGATTGCAGTGAAAATCTTCCATCACACCACAAAAATTCTCCTGTTTGTATTTGAGAAGTAACTTTGCTGAAACATTTCTAGCAATACAGCAAAAGCTGGATTTTTTCTTTCTGAATGTTAAAATATATATATTACTGAAGATTTAAGTGGTTTATTTTTAAGCCATAAGAAAAATAGCTTAGTAGCCATCTTTCCAGACTTTAAAAACAAACCAGAACAGAAAAACCTACCAAAACCATCATGAATAAAGCTCCTGTAAAAATATAAGAAAAAATAAGTTTCAGAGAAAGGACCAAAATTTTAAGGAAAAAAGTAAATCAGAGATTCTAAACCTAACAGCAAAAAATTCTAAACCAACAATTGTAAAGCTGTAAAACCAAGAGTTATGTGGCAAAATGGAGGACAATGAGTGTAACAATGCAGAGGTTCATATGTTAACAATTAAGGTTGTTTGTTTTTTTCAGCTGGGGCTCCTGTACTCTAATTTGCTCAGGGGTTTTGGTTTGTTAAACACATATTGAATCTCAAGCTTTTGGAACGCCTGGATATACTATTTTTCAAATCATGATTATGCTCCTAGTGATTATTCCCTAAAAACACAAAGTCACTCATATAAGAAACATCTTTGCTGCACTGCTTTCACAGGTGAATGTATAAAGAGAACAATTAAAAGACTCCTAAACCAAAGACACTGGTCTGTATCTTCACTTACCTCACTGTCATGATGCTTCACAATCTGCAGCTCAAAGAATTCCTCCTCCTCTTCTGCAACAAGAGTAGCATCCCACCCTCCAGCTTCTGGGTCATCCAGGTTGTCCTGGGAGCTGAAGTCATCAGCTACAAACAGAAGGGAATGTGGAAAGTGAGGAGACACAAAGCAATTATCCCCCTTTAAAAACATCCAGTAAGCCATGAATTCACATTTTCCTCACCAACTCCCCAGCTTGGCTGTTTCCACTCCACCTACGAAAGAAAAGCTCCTGCATTGTTCCACTTCAAAAAGACTCTCATTTCTATACAGAAAGTGTGCACAAAGATTTGGGGACACAGACTCAAACGTGCCTTTTAAAGTCCTCTGTTATGTGAGGACTCTCAGTTGCAAACATCTCCTTGCCTGCAGGTATATATAAATATAAATATATATACATACACACACATACACATTAAATACATTGGTCATTTGCCATGAGCTAGGTGGTGTGGGATTTTTAACTAAAGATAAGTGGCTGGTTGAACAAGTGAAAACACAGTACTTTTAGATCATGACTAAACAAAACCTTAAATCTGGGGTTTGAGAAGCTCAACCTATCCTAGCTCGAGTCCCTCCCCATGAATGAATTATTAACCAGCTCCTCTCTGAAGCCATTGGATCTGTGGATGCACTTTCCAAGGTGGACAAACCATCAGTGTCAGGAGATTGCAGCACAGATCTCCTCCCAACAGGCTGCATGCCACCTCCCCACCCTCACCTGACACTTCTCATCCAAATATTAACCCTCTTCTAAACATCCTAACAAGGTTTTGTTTGACTGATTAGGCCCTGTTGGCTCCCTGGACTTGTTTTGGGGTTGCTGGTTTCTTGGTTCCAATTTCCCATTTTTGGTAGAAGTATCTGGCTAATACATTGTTCAAATTGGATCTTGTATTGGGATGTATTGAAACATGGGATTCTTAAAACCTTCCATATATAATACTGTGTGTTTTGAAGCATTAAACAATATGTTTCAGTGAAAAATGTGCACTCTGCAGTTAATCTACCTGCCATCCCAGGCATTTCTTAATTTTATTAGTTTGCTGAAATTCCATAACGTCATTGGTTTATATAAAGTTTGTTTTGAAGTACTCTGTCATTTTAAGAGCCACTTACCATTCAAATCAAGGAATATAACAGGAATGTGAGTTTCCATACCAGCCACAGGAGTCCTAAAATGCAAGACAGGGACAATGGTGGCATTTAAAGTAAGAGATTTACCCAGCACACGTCTGTGATGATACAAACCCACGGGACATTACATTCAGTACAACTATAATTTGTAGCCAGACCACTGATAACCTTGGCAAACAGCTTTATTTTAATTTACTGTTGCAGAGTCTGAGAGACTCAAATAAATTGGTGTTTCCTTTATACCAGCTCTCTTAGAATTATGATCTTCTTTGGCCTCTTGCTTTCCGAAAAATCTTTTCCCCCCTCTTAAATGCTAATAGCAAAATTAAGTTTATTTACTTTGACACACACATTTGTTAAATTCAAACTCCCCTGCATTAGTGATGGAAGGGAAGACAGCAGAGAGAGAATCAGAAAAGCCAGTTTTAAAGTTTTCAAACTGACATTGATGCTGCCACTCCACACAGTTATTACTCATTCTTACAAAACACACATTTAAGAGCCAAACCCGCTATTTAAGGCATCTTTTATATCATGGAAGAAGGGGTTAGAGAAGTGGTGTTTTGTTTGTTTTTAGAATGAAAAACTAAGCCACATAGTATTAATAAGGTACTGGAAATGTAACATGGGGCACAAAATACTTTTGGGCTTTTCACGATAAACTTGATGAATTTATGGTGAACAGGAGCAGGTTGGAGTCTTATGTAACATAGAAGGTGCTTGAATCATACTGAATATTTCATTGTTTTCAACCAACACTTTGATGTGAAGGCTGATTTGTTTCCAACTGTAATTTGCTATTTTTAGGTTTTAGCAGCACTGGCTTTAACAAACTCCAGCTTAAAACTCCACGACACTCAATTCCATCAATAAATACTGGTAAAGGTTTGCTCAGGAAAGATATTCAGGAAGTTGAAAGCAACTGAAGACAAGAGGTTTGAGGTGACACAACCCCAAATCCTTATCTGCAGTTGTTCTTCACAGCTGATACAGCTCAGCAGCTACAGTCAAGTGTTCTCTACTATTTTTAAAGTTTAGAAAATTACATGGAACACTTGCTGACTAAACAGAGTTTGTTCTCAAACCAGCAGCACAACAAAATGCTCCTGGAGATGCAGTTTTATTAGGAGGGAGCAACCTTTTAAGTGAATGAACTAGGTAATTAACATATTAGCTAATTTTTTAAAATGGTAAGTGCAGTGGTAATAAATATTGATTCCTTTTTTTTCCAGAAGGTTATAATTACACCCTGATCAATAGCAGGATCCTTTACCAAACAGCATTTCTGCATTTCGGATACATAACCCAATAAAATAATTTAAGCAAGAAGCCTAATTTTAACAGCTTTGCTCATACAGTGTACAGGGGCCAGATTGAGGAAAGCAAAAAACTGGCCACAGTCCAAGGCAGGAATGCTCAGTGCATCATCTTTACATTCCTCCCATGGCAATGTGTGCTCATACCACTCTGCTGGAGCTCCAGGGATCCCACTGCCAGCAGAAGGGACCATCACAGCATTCCTTTCCTCTGTGAGGGTCAACCTCATCTCCAAGAGCTGAGCCTCCCGATCTGCATCATCTTCTGTTTTATCTGGAGAAGCAGGATGGCAACAGAGAGCAGCTCTTAGTGCCTCTATCACATACTGATGATTTTATACCACCCAGAACAGAATAAATCCCATTCTGCTCAGAATTCAGCACACAAAGGAACACACAACAACCAATTTTATACAGGCTTCTCTAACTTTAGTTTCACTGAAGGCAAATGACCGAGTTCAGAGATTTAACTTGTTTTCTAAATTTTACACTCTGTCAGGATAAAAAGCTGTATGCACATGTCTATCACATTATTACCCTGAACAGAATTTTCCTTACCAGGCTTCCCAACAAGTTTCTGCAGCTGCTGATCCAGGTACTCCTGACGCTTGGTTAAGGCACAGAGCCATTTCCGACGGAGCCTCTCCAAGTCCCTGTCCTGCAAAGGGGGGAAAGGAATCATCTTAAATACTGACCCAGGAAAGCCAAGGTTTCCTATCTGTGGCTTACACATTCCCCCAGCCCTTATGCTCATCCTGCACTCAAGAAGAGGATCAGGAAGACAGAGCAGACCCCCAATTAATCCCTTTGCTCTTCCCTATTTTCTTTTGCATGGAAACACAAGAGAAGCTGAGGTTGGAAGGGATCTCTGGAGATTGTCTAGTCCAACCCTCCTGTGCCCAAAGCAGGGTCAACCACAGCAGCTTGCTCAGGGGCTGTGTCCAGTTGGGATTTGAAAACCCCCAAGGCTGGAAACTCTATAACCTCTCCTGGTAACATGTACTAGTGTTTGACCAACACTATGGTAAAATCAAAAAATAAATAACAGAAGTTTCCAATGTGGAGATTCCTTGCCTCCTGTCCTTTCCCTGGATACCACAGAAAAGAGTCTGGCTCTGCCTTCTTTACCCCTTCCCACTTACACAGACAAGATCCCATCTGAGCCTTGTCTTTTCCTCGAGGTTAAACAACCCCAGTTCTCTTAGTCTTTCTTCACAAATCCCAACACTTTAACTTGCCACATCTTATTTGAAGTATTTTTTGCTTGCCAGCCCAAGACCCCTCTTTCTCTAAGTGTTTTTCTGTGCTACCCAGATGAGAAAAATTTCATTTTATACAGTTCTTTGCCCCCAAACTACTCCCAGACTCACTAACCACCACCTTGTGGCAAAGCTGGAAACCTCAGTCCTTAACCATGACACACCACTCCCACTGATTCCTCCTATTAGGAATCCATCCCTGCCCCAGCAGTTCCCCCCAAAGCCCTCAAACCAAAAAACAATTGGATTTTGGACTGGAAATACACATTATGGCATCTCTCTCATCCACCATAGGCTTTGGAGCATAACAATCTAACCAGTTCCTAAGTTTTTTGTCTCTTCTGCATATCAAGAAAATGCTGATCCTCCTCTAACATGTTTTAATCTGAAAATGCCTGCAATTGTAAGACAGAATTTAAGATTTTTACCTGATAACTGTCCATTTCATCTTCTTCTTCCTAGGTCAAAACACACAAAACCATGCCATTAATTTTTTTTTTGATAGCAGGAAACTACACTGAATGCAAAAGGTGTAACAATTTTAAGCAATTTTAGCAGTCTTACCCAAAAGTGTGAGCTTAGCAATGGCATGATCACAGAATTAAAACACACTGACACTTGCTGCTATCAGCTCATCTAAACCCAAACTAGAGCAATCCAATGATTACAATGGAGAGTAATAAAATTATTAGAAGTCTTAATAATTGAAAGCAAGTGGAATACTTAAATTGCACCAAGAAAATAGAAGACTTGTAGTGAAACAGCTTGAAACCTGTTGATCCTGGACAGGCAGGAGAAATGTGAATGTTACAGTAAGTGCTGAAAAATCACAGTCTGGTGTAGAATCAGAGAATCATGGAATCATTAAGGCTGGAAAAGATCTTTAAGATCCAGTCCAACCATCAAACAGCACCACCATCATGTTCACCAATAAACCACGTCCTAAAGTGTCACAGTTGCAACTTTTTTAACATTTCCAGGGATGGGGACTCCAACAAGGCCCTGGGCAGCTTTGCCAGGGCTGGATAACCCTTTCCATGAAGGAATTGTTCCCAATATCCAACCTGAATCTCCCCTGGCACAGCCTGAGGCTGCTTCCCCTTGTCCTGTCTCTTGTTCCCTGGGAGCAGAGCCTGACCCACCCCCGGCTCCCCCCTCCTGTCAGGGAATTGTGGAGAGGGAAAAGGTCCCCCCTGAGCCTCCTTTTCTCCAGGCTAAGCCCCCCCAGCTCTCTCAGCTGCTCCTGCTGCTCCAGCCCCTTCCCCAGCTCCGTTCCCTTCCCTGGACAATCTCCAGCCCCTCAATGTCTCTCTTGTCTGAGGGGCCCAAAACTGCCCCCAGGATTCAAGGTGTGCACAAAGGATTTGAGGCAAGTTTGATGCAGCATATAAAGAAGAACTGCAAACATCTTTGTGAATTATCAGGGAATTGGGATGACAGCCACAGCAAGAGTCACAATGTAGACCTTCAACATTTTATTTCCCTTATTTTCTGATGCCAGACACCACCTTTAATCCTCGACCTTCACCACAAGCAGAGCCACTTGCACTGAGCACAACTGCCCCTCCTCACAGTGAATGGAAAAGGAATGAGGGCTCCAATCCTCATGGAGTTATCACTTATCTATTTAAGTAATAACGAGCCCCTGGAGTCTCCTTTTGTATCTTAATAATGAAAGCAAAAACTTCGCTAAGCTAAAATTAAAAAGCCATATAGAAGAGGCATTTCCTCAGTTCAAGGTCTTTAGAAAATCTTTCACATTCCATAGATACTGATTTACTTGAGATAAGAGAAATGCTAATAAGGGGACTAAAAATCCAGGTGCTCAGGTCTGAAGGCCATTGTGAGCAGCAGGGCTAATGAAACTTGGCTTTCAGTAGCCCTTTCCCATGGGGCTTATCAGTGTCAGGCACAACTCACTGGTCTCTCTCTCTCTCAAGTGGAGTTTAAGTCTTTCTTTTTGAAAGAATGTACTATTTTGGGGATTGGCAGCTCTGTGGGATAAGATTGAAACTGGTCAATGGATCAGGAATTCACAGGGTGAGGCAGAGGGGATGCTCACCTGGGACCTGTCCTTACAAACCAGGCTAAAAGGGGCCCTTGTACATTGTGGGTCTGTGAGAGCTTTCAAGGAAAATTTGGAAGAATCAATCATTCTGTCTCAGGAGGGAAACATGCTCCATTCAGGAGTTTCCTTACTTTATAGGAAGGAAATGTGGGTATGAGGGACTGCTGTGATGCAAAGGCTGCAAGTGGAGTCACTAGGAGAAGAATAATGGGGAACAACAGCAAAAATTTGCCCAGGATGCTGCTGGAAAGGGAGATTTCTGCAAAAGTAGGAAAAAATTCCCATTTTTGCACCCTGACACATAAGGGGAGGGGAACACTCAGGTTAAGAGACAACAAAAAACCCCAAGTGCCAATCTGAAAGGAAAAGCCATAATAATTCAGCAAAAAAAAGGGGAGCAGACATAGATTGAATCATACTCTGTCAAAAGTGTAACCATTTTGGGACATCTCCTGGTTTTCCATAAACTACTTGACATTTAGTTGGCCTTGTCTCAAGCAGGGCTGTTAATCAAACAAGCCCAAAGACTTGCTCGTTCTGTTGCACCAGACTCTGGCTTGTTACCTCTGAAAAGTGATGGAATTTTAATTTATTTGTTGGGGAAAAAAATCAAACTGCACCAAAAAAACTGATGGGAGCACTGCAAGAGGACAATCCCTAAAAAGAGATCCATATATTTGCTGTTTAACATGACGTGTAGTTGTGTGTGAGGTTGTCAAACAACTGGCCAACAGATACTGTGGGCGACAACTGGCTCATGTAATTCTAACATTTGTAACTGGACACTATTTGAATATATGTTCAACTGGTTTATTTTAATTTGAATACTTACTTAAAATTGCTGCCATGTCTAATATTTTAAGTAAAAACTACAGGACAAACTCCTAATGAATTTTAGGAACACTGGCATTTCCTTTTCTTCTTTGAGTGGTGTGTTAAGGCTGTGGCGTTTAAGGATAGGGAAAAAAATCCAGCCAAAACCAGAAAAGACACAGAAGGTGGTCTTAAAAATATTCTTTTTGCCAGGGAAAATGATTTTTGATTAAGAGGAAGATCTTCCACAATAATTTCTGAAGGACAGAGGTTTAAACTGCCCTGAATAATCTCTAAACCCACCATCAAAGCAGTTCTGATAATTCATCTTGACCTTGATTTATACATTCAAGTAGGTTCAAAAAATATTCCCCCAAACCAACCCAAAACTTGAAACATATGGAGTTGACTTCAACTTGACTGCAGCAAACAGAACATCAGTTTATGGCTTTACATGTCTCAGAAATAGCCAGAACTGACACGGAATATTCACTCTTACCTGATAATTTTGTGACTTGACATGTTTTATTTGAACACAGCCAATGCCAACAGACAATATGGATTCCTCCATCAGTGGTAAGGTCCCAGATTCCTGCACAGATCTCACTTCGACCTGAATCCGTCGAGATTGTCCCTGCCCAGAAGAACAATTTGAAATGCTTGGGAAAAAAGCCTTATAAAGTGCTGAAAGGTTAATTTCAGAGAGACCTCTACTGGCAGCCACTGGTAAGCAACATTATATTTTTATTTTGGGAAGAACAAAGTGGTGAGTTTGGGAATCCCAATGACCCAGTGTTCAAGAGATCCCCCTTCTGTTGCAAGGATTTATGTTTACAGGATTTATGTATTCACAGACAAAAAAGCAATAGTTCAGCATTCAGCTGAACTCCCCAGTTTACTTTTCTGAAGGGTTTTCAAACACACACTTAAAGGAATTTATTTTTAATACTTCTGAAGGTGGAAAATAGGATCTCTTCCCCAACTACAAAAGAGGAGTGTAAATAATTTGGTGAGCTACTGGAATTTCAGTGAACTTTTCCTGACTCTGGTCTCCCTGACTGAAAATTCTGACCCACTGATGCTATCAGTGCAGCAAAGCAACTGCTCTGCAGTAAAACCATAAAGAAAAAAAAAGAAATAATAATAACAAAAAAGAAAATAAAAATCTGAGGAGTTGGCAAGGTCAGAGGTGCAGCCTGTATCTAACTTTTACTAATTCCCTGTGTTCTCTGGGTAATGGCTTATCATTTAAAAATGTCAACTATTCAGTTAAGCATTAACAATTTAATGCATGTAGAACTCAAAGAACAAAGGAGTGCTTGGCTGGAAGGATCAAATAAAGGGGAACTCTGGACCTCTTTAAAAAATAATTAAGTTCAGTGGAGATTGGTGTCCTTTCTACCAGGTGCTATCACAGAACAGGGCAAAAAGATTCCAGGGAAGCCTTTGATCACCTTTACAGCAGAATTTTTCACACTGGCAGAGGGACTCCACTTTCTTGCACCTCATATGTGTTTTACACAATCTCATATTTTGTACCTGAGCTTGGACATGACCTCTTTCACCACGCAAAATAAAAAGTTTCTTTGCTTTTTCTGTGCTTTTCCCACAGCTGAAATCCTGCCCGTGCCACCTTACCTGCCTGAGCTGGAAGATGCCTCCTGTGCTGACATCCTTGGCAGGAGTCACCTCCACTGGGCAATACTCCCCATTCTCATTCAGCTCCAGAATTTGAACCCACAGTTCTACTTTGCGGGTCACTTCACTCCACCTGCAGAACACGTCAAAAATAGTGTTTCTTTTGGGTTCTCTTTCCCCAAATTAAAAAGGAAGAAAAACCCCAAAGCATTAGCTCAGGCTGCAGATTGAAGCAGCAAAGGACCACTGCAATAGAGGCACCATTTATATGCAGGATTACTCATAAATTTTACTGATAGATATTTTAGTCAAACATCAGAATTAAGCCTTTTCTTGATTCCAACACAAACCCCAATCCCACATTTAAGCTCTGGCCTCAACTCCAGCCACAGGAGCCCAGTGTTGTCAGGGCAATCAGATTTACACAGAAGACAGCAGAATGAAATATGACATTGTCTCACAAGCTTTCAAGATTCAGAGCACTTTCCTGAACTTCATCATATCACTGCCTTCTCTCCAGTTCTTCCAAGAGCTTAAAGAAGAAATGGCCACTTCTGTAGAACTTCAAAATTTGAAAGGACAGAGGTACTCATTGCTCAGCTGCCAAACATAACTCACTATTTTATGGCATGTTTTCCCATCTTTTCTTTGCCATATATTCCTGACTTTTCTTTTAAACTCCCCCATATACAGCTTAATACTCAACATGCTCAACACAAGCTGGAAGTAAAAAGAGAAATAACTGCCAATAAATTAAGATGCTGAGCTGCCTTCTAATTGGAGAGGTAAAACAACTCACTTTTAAGAAAATGCTACTATAAGTTTATTTTTGGGACAACAAATGGCTGCCAGCAAACAAGCAATTCCCTCTTTCAGGCTGAATTACCATATTGTTTGTGTATTTATTTCAATTGAGATAATAAGCAATACAACTATTCCAAAGGAAGCATTACAGGGATGGCATTTCACGGCCAAGAATTAACGGATTCACAGTGGTCTTCAGCTCAACATTTGATTACTTCCCCCAAACCTGTTTCAAAACTGGGCACCTCAGACAGTGATTTTTCCCCAGTTCCAACCTAAGGATCCATTTTCCATATTTACCTGTCACGAAGGCTGCGTGTTTTGGCCTGAATTATTCCCAAATCCCACAGGGCTGGATTTTTGCGGTCACCACTCTGCTTGTGCCCATAAACCTCAATGGCCAAAGCACCATCATAGAGGTGTTCCATGAAGTCTTCAGAAATATTGACAGAAACTTCCTGTGAGGGACAAATGGGGTTGATGATTGTGACTATACGACTTAAGGCTGTGAGATTTACTGCCTTGACTTTAACATAAGCATTTAACAAAGTCACCCTGGTCCCCAAGACACAATTTAGAAGAAAGGAAGAGCTGCCACCTCGGTTTGTAAAATCAGGAGGCAAAGCAAAGGTACGTGATTTTCTAAAGATTAAAGACTATAAAGAGCTGAAAAATGACCATAGGCTTTTCCAAGCCTTGATCCAATGGTTCAAAAATAACGAAATCATACGTTCTAATGTTCAGAATCTGAAAATCAAAACTCATCAGAAGGTGTTATATCTATTTCATGAATGATAAGTGGAATAAATTGCTCAGTGTAATGAGGAATGATAGAACATGATGAGAACTGAGGTGATTTGGCTGGGATTCATCCAACTTGACTTTAGATGTCTCTGTTAAAGAAGCCTCCACTCAGCTGCTCCAAAGGCAATGGGAAGAAATAGTCTGTTCTAACAATCCAACTTCAACATCTACATCAGGATAACAGGGATCATGTCCCAGGACTGGGACATTTCTCTCCATTACATCAGTGTAGAGTGATCAATTCAGCTATAGACATCAAATGGACTCACATGAATATCTCCTTCAATCACACTGAATTTTTACTGTGGGTAAACTTTAGCCTAAGTCTCTCTGCTGAACAGATGTTTTCCTTTATTAATTCACTTCACCTCTGAGTTTTGTACAGGTGAACAGTGTAGAAGAATCAAACTTAAATGGACTCTGAAGATGTTTAAGTCCTTATTAAAAATGGTATTAGTAGGGTACCAACCTCCTGAAATATTACAATGTGAGCAAAGAGGCAACTAAAACTGTTACAGAAGCATAAACCTGCTTTGCCTGCCTTGGAGTTTCATTAATAAAACAGAAAATTTAATTACATTGCAGTGATCAAAGACCACCATGCACCGTGGCTCCTTGCTGATGGAAGATTGGGAAGGATCCACCTCAGGTGCAACACTGACAGGCTCCAGTTGATCCCAGAATGTGTATTTGCAGAACACAAAGTTGGAGAGGTGCTGTGGCAAACCTGTAGCTTGAAGTATTTTAATCTAGAAAAGAGATGAGAAACACGGGAAAAGCATTTATTCATTAGGCACAGAATGAAAAATATCTCCTGGCAGAACAATGTTAGTCTGTTCCACTGCAAAGGATAACAAAAAAATAAAAGCAGCAAGGCAGAAGATTTTAGAAAATAGAATTTCTTCATTGAAACTCCTTGGAGACAATATTTGAGTGCAGCAGTTGAACACTGTCACTAGATGTCACCAGACATTCATTCATATTTCTTGGGAGTAGAAACCAAGGGGATGAATTTTACCAACACACCAAAACATTTTGTTAGTTTTTAATGGTGAAATATACACCAAAAACATTGTAATAGAAGAGGAATACATTAAAAATCTCATACTTCCACCACAATTGGCTCCTCTATTCTCCAAAAATCCTTGTTATAAAATACTGCTTGTCCTTATTCTGTGATGCAGGAAACAACACAAAACCAACCCCAACAATGCAAAAGTAGCCTGTCCCCTCTTTTTCAAAATCAAAGCCAAATAGAAACAAAAGGTTTTGAATACTCATTCTGATCTAAACAAAGCCATCAAATTAACCATGTATTTAATAAGCCTCTATTCTCCATTTGTCAAAATAAGATCAAATTAGTTAGACTTCAACAGTAAGGTAGCACTCAGGATCCTCAGGGGAATGTTTCCTGCCACAATGCCCCATCTTGCTTGTAAGGACATGGAGTTCTATGGAACAGGATAAACAAATGGGAAAAAAAGGTACAATTTCGCCCAAACTGTTCATATTGTCCAGAAGTCAGCAAGGTTGGGGACCACTCCCTCTAATTCTTTTGGCCTTTTGCTTTTTTTTACCTGTAGCTTAGTCTACCTTGTGTTTTACTACAGCACAGAACTGCTAGTAAATACTTCCTACTAATTTTCTTTTTATTATTAACAGTAATAAACACACTACATGTATTTCACAGAATATTTAATACATAGAGAAAGAAATATTGAGAGAGAATGATTCACAAAATGATGGGAGTTTATTACATTCTGTGACTCCTTTTCAATTAACTATTATGGCACTAATCCTAACACACAGATCTTCCAAGGCTTCCAAGAGAGCAATAAACTTCCTGGGGTGAGACTTTGGCATTTAAACACAGTTAATGAAAGGACCAAAACCTACCTAATTATCTTGCATTATTTCAGCCTCTCCAGAAACAAAACGAGGTTACAAAGAGACATCCAAGAGCCAGAAGCCAAGAAGTTCTTTAAGACTTGGGATGGAAAGAGAGAAGGTTGCTCAGAGGTTGGGATACTCCTGGAAACTCACCCTGCAGACAAGTTTTCTCTCCTGAACATCGTTTTCACTGGAACAGTCAGGACTGTCCTCACCTCCCACCAGCCTGTCGTCGATCTCTCCACTCACTCGAACAACTTCAACATGGAGACGACCTGACACCTGGTAAGAGAGGAGTAAAAATTACTTGTGTGCCAGAAAACAGTGACAAGTTCATCCCCTTCTACAACTGCTGCTGTTTCTAGTCTGTAAGCAGCCAATATTTTATCCTTTTTTTATTGCTCTTGTTCTCGGCATTTGTTGCACCACACGAAGAACTTGCTTTGGAGCAAGAATCAAAGAGCCTCTGTTGTAAAAACCATAAAGAAATCAGCAACTGGAGTGACTTTGGGAACAATCTCACCTTCAAACCAGTCTCTAGAGAGTCTGCAAAGTGCACACATGAGGTACAGCACAGAGGATGTTGCCTGGGATGCTCTGCTGCCTCTGAAGTTGTTCTCACAGTATATATTTAAAAACTTACTCTTGATGGCAGTCAGTGAAACCAGTGGAGTGATAGCTCATACTTGTTCTACTATATATTTTGGGCTATTTCACTCAAAAAGATGTTCACAAAGCCTTCTCCTTTCACAATCACTGTGCTGGGATTCAGAGCAACAGTCAGGTATTATGGGACTTGCATAATTCCACATTGTTAGCAAAGAGCTTGTGCACACGAAACTGGAAAGTATCTACCATATACTGGTAATAAGACCCACAGGCTGTAATTAAACAGTTGAGTAATGACAGATTATAGGAGAATGACAAACCTCTCCCTTCTGATTGATGATTGGAACTGCATATTGTAGCTTCACATCATAGAACAGGCACTCAAGGAAAACATTGGCTACTCCAATAAGGCTGTGGTTTTCCTGCTCGTCGTAGAACGGGTCAGCTCTCCTGAAGTAAGATCTCATCACCTGCAAGCAAGTTCACAACAATGCAAGGAAATCAAACTTCTCATGAAACACTTTCCTAAGTCTTGCACAACCAGCCTGGTGAAAGAAAAAGGGACTCAAGCAAGAGGACAGATTAGGTCACAGGAAGAATGGAAAAGAATTTGACTTTGGATTAGGCCCTTTTACTTTGGATAAGGCCCATCCTCAGCAAGTTCTCCTTAACTTTGTCAGATTCCTGAACATTAACTGCTGTTGTATTACTTACTGCTTCTTATTATATGATTTGTTCTGTCACCAAACTGCATGCAAACAGGCAGCAAAGTGACAAGATAAGTGTTAATGAAATGCTGAAGATCCCCTCTGTATTAGGAAAAGCAAAACCTCAGGAAAACTTAGCTCTTTCCATATTCACTCCTCACCCCCACCCAACCCCCCTCTTGAAAATTTAACAGGATGTAATTCCATCAGAACAATGACTGGAGTAATTTCTACTTACTGGGTTGTCTTCCTCACAGTCTTTCCACTCCTGGTAAAGATCCCTCATATCCACCAATCGATTCTCCAGCTTCTCCAGTGACCAAATCTGTTTGCCTTTCCCCTTCCTTCTCACCTGGATAGCAGGCTCGCTGAGAATTGCACCTCTCTGGGAAGCAATTAAAGAGATATCAGTGAGGTATTTGTGTCACAACAAGGAAAAAATAGTTTAAAACTAACACAAAGTTGAGAATATCTTTGGGAAAAGTCTGTTCTTTTTTTGTTCTGGCTTGAGCAACCAAATCCAAGCGTGACAGACTCTGAGTTCAGCTGTCACAGTGTATTTGTGTTCAGTTTAACTGGGAATCTAATCACAGCTACAGGCACTAGTTTCCCTGGATTTTCACCTTGCATAAGTGTTAGAAATGGGAACATTTAAGCATTTCACAAATATCCTCAAGTTACAGCAGGCCTGGAGTTCCAGTTAAAGTTACTACTGCCTGAAACTTTCAATTAGTGCAGACACTTAATCCCCTTCATCATCCTGTTTCTGGATGTGTCTTCCCCAGAGGACTGTGAGAAAAACCTCTAAAACAATTGATAAAAATTATAAACCTGGAATAAAATCCACGTACTGTACTAACAGTGGCCCGAGTATCACCCAAATATTAACTTGAAGGACAGAAATAACACCAGCTTAGGTAGCCAGCCTGAGACAGGGAAGTCTGGGTTCAGCTCCCTCCTTCCAAAATTTCTAAGATGACTGAGAACAAATAATTCAAATCCTCTCTGCTCCAGGTGCTCCCTCCACAATGGGGGTGGCAGCATTTTCACAGCTCACTGGGATGATGCAAATGATGGTAAATACTTGAAATAGATGGTACCCAACCTGCACAGATTTTGTCACTCTGCAACAGAAGCAAGTGTGAACTTCAACACCAGTGGAAAGGTCTTGCACCAAAACATGTATCATTTATGACACATTATAGGATTTTCATGGAATAAAATAAGGATGTAGCATGGTCTAACAGAGCCATATTTAATGCACGTGACTGGCAAAATATCTTGACCATTAAATTCAAAATAAAAGGAATACGAACACTGAGAGGCAAATTTACTAAAACAACAATATAATCCCATCAGGGTGACCTTACCTTACTGTTGGCATTAAGGCTTGAAGCTGGGATCTGGAGGGTCACTTTGTACTCTGTCCTCTTGTCCAGCTCCTCTCCGATAAAATTGGCTTCTCTCACGTACAAATTGGCTTTAACAATCTGCTCTCGCAGCTTCCTCAGGCTGTGGGTCAACATTTCTTCTCTGAAAGAAGGGGAGTGGGAGGGGGAGACAGGAGAAATCATGATATTTAAGTACTGAAACTGAGTACAAAACAAAGGCAGGAGGGGCCAACTGGGAGCTTATTGGTTAGGATTAAAGGGAGGGAAGGGACAGGTGACATTACAGTGGGGGGAAAACACAACAGAACATAAGTAATCCAGGAAGTTCCCGGAATGTCTTGGTGATAACTTCTTTCTCCAAATGACAGAGGAGCCAAGGAGGAGAAGTGCCATGCTGGACCTTGTTCTCATCAGCAAGGAGAGGCTGGTGGGGAATGTGAAGCTCAAGGGCAGCCTGGGCTGCAGCGACCATGAAATGGGGGAGTTCCAGATCCTCAGGGAAGCAGGGAGGGCACACAGCAAGCTCGTGACCCTGGGCTTTAGGAGAGAAAACTTTGTCCTCTTTAGGAATCTGCTTGGTAGTCACATGGGATAAAGCCCTGGAGGGAAAAGGGGCCCAAGGAAGCTGGTTGATATTCAAGGATTGTCTCCTCCAAGCTCAGGAGTGACGAATCCCTAGGAAGACGCAGTCAGGCAAAAATGCCAGGAGGGCTGTGTGGATGAACAAGGAGCTTCTGGACCAACTGAAACATAAAATCAATTCTACAGAGGGTGAAAGCAAGGACAAGTAGCCTGGGAGGAATATAGAGAACCTGTCCAAGCAGACAGGAATCAGGTTAGGAAAGCTGAAGTCCTGACAGAATTAAACCTGGCCAAGGATGTCAAGGACAAGAAAAGCTCCCGTGTTGAGGAAGACTGAGGAAAATGTGGGCCCTCTTGGAAAGAAACAGGAGACCTGGTTACCCAGGACATGGAGAAGGCTCAGGTACTCAACAGCTTTTCTGCCTTGGTCTTCACCATCAAGTGTTCCATCCAAGTTATAGAAGGTGAAAGCAGGGATTGGGAGAATGATGAACCACCCACTGCAGGAGAAGATCAGGTTTGAGACCATCTAAGGAACATAAAGGAGCACAAATCCATGGGATCTGATGAAAGCCACCTGTGGGTCCTGAGGGAACTGATGGATTTAGTGGCTCAGACACCGTCCATTATATTTGAGAAGCTGTAGCAGTCTGGTGACGTTCCCACTGACTGGAAAAGCGGAAACATAATTCCCAATTTTAAAAAGGGAAATAAGGAAGACCCAGAGAACTGCAGCCTGGCCAGTCCCACCTCCACGGCCATCAAGATCATGGAGCAGATCCTCCTGGAAGCTGTGCTAAGGCACATGGAAGATAAGGAGGTGACTGGTGACAGCCAGTGGGGCTTCACTAAGGGCAAATCATGCCTTAAAAATTATGTGGCACTGTACAGTAGAATACAGAGGTGAGGGATGAGAGAAGAGCAACTGATGTCATCCACCTGAACTCATGCAAAGCATTTGACACTGTCCTGTAAAACATCCTGGTGTCCAGCTCTGGGACCCTCAACATCACAAGGACATGGAGCTGCTGGAGCAAATCCAGAGGAGGTCATGGAGATGCTCCAAGGGATGGGAACTCTCTGCTCTGGAGACAGGCTGGGAGAGCTGAGGGTGTCCACCAGGAGAAGAGAAGGCTCCAGGGAGACCTGAGAGCCCCTTCCAGCACCTAAAGGGGCTTCAAAAGAGCCAGAGAGGGACTTGGGATAAGGGATGGAGGGACAGGACAAAGGGGAATGGATTCCCACTGGAAAAGGACAGGGTTAGATGGGATAATGGGAAGAAATCCTTCCCTGTGAGGGCACTGAGGCTCTGGCACAGGTTGCCCAGAGAAACTGTGGCTGCCCCATCCCTGGAAGTGTCCAAGGCCAGGATGGATGGAGCTTGGAGCAACCTGGGCTAGTGGAAGGTGTCCCTGCCCATGGCAGGGGGCTGGAATGAGATGAGTTTTAAGGTCCCTTCCCACCCAAACCATTCTATGACTTTTAACACAAAAATCAGGTGAATTAAATTAAATTTCTTCTGGAAAAAAACAATTATCACTATGAATTTAGTAGTATGAAAATTAGGATACTGCTGGCTTTGGAGACCTCTCCATGCATCTGCTGAACAGTCAGCTATTGTGTGGCTCATTCCAGAGCTTTCCCACCACAGCTGTGGATGTTCCATCTTACAGAGAAAGGTTTATTCACACAACATGACCCACTTGCTCACTGGGCTTCCTGGCAAGTGTGAGAGAGAGAGTCAACTGTGCAGCACAGGAACCTGGAACCACAAAATATTCCAGCCACGCACCTCGCTAGACTGTCTCAAATATTTTCTATTTCAAAAATTGCTTTTCTAGCCCCATATATTAGATTTGTATTTTCTCATGACAAAGTCTTTTTCATACTCATTGATTTAGGGTTAAGTTTCATCTTCCTCCCACTGCTGCTCTTTTTGACAGCAACACTGGAGAACATCATGGAGGGGCTGAAGTAAAAAACCTCAGGAGGAGGCAGAGAGGACAGTGACCCCTCTGTGGTTATTAAATTGCTTTTGCAATGCTCTGGTTTAAAATTCTTTGCATCATCCTCTTACTCCCTTTTCTTTCTGCACTCCTGTGGCTGTCAGGTCTGTCAGATCCAAGTCAAGAGGAAAAACAACCTTCCAGCAGCTGAATCATGATCCACAGAACAAACTCATACAGGAGTCTCAAAATTTCTTCCAATCACCTCATCTTTGCTGAATAGGATAGAGTTTATCCTTAAGAACAAAGCAGGAACTCATTCTTTCTCAGCTTTTCCACCATTATAAATCTGATTATTCTGGAGGTGTTGGATGGGGCTTGGAGCTGCTCTAGTGGAAGGTGTCTCTGCTCATGGCAGGGTGTTGGAATGAGATGAGCTTTAAGGCGCCCTCTAACCCAAAATATTCAATCATTCTACAATTCTTAGACTAATTTTTCAGCCGTGTCCTCCCCAAGCTCTCCCGGAGTCCTGCCAGAAGCTCATCAGAGCTTTGCAACACAATTAAAACCTTCCAAAATTCAGAAGCAATGGAGAACTTTGCCTGAATGCTGCTGCTGGGGAGATGCCCTGACCCACCTCTCCTCGGCCCACTGCCTCAGGCGCTGCTGGGCGCTGGGAGAGTGGAAGGAGAACCGGTCCATGCTGCGGAAATGCTGCTTCTCCGGCGACAGCCGCCTGCGGAGCTGCTCCAGCTCGTGCTCGTACATCAGCCTCTGCCTCTCCAGGGCAGATCTCTTCTCCTCCTCGTGCTGCTGCTCCAGGCTCTGCAGGATCGACTGCATCGGGTCTGAGCAGATGTGGGAGATAAAGTGAAATCCGTGTCAAGGAGCGTCCTTGTGATGTGTGATGGAAACACAGTTATCACAGAAAAAGGGACTATATTTTTGTTGCAACTTCTCTTAAAATATTTAAAACATTTATACGTTTTACTTATGGTTATATATTTAATATATAGTATTTATTTTATACATTAACATATAATATATTACACCTACTATATATTATATATTTCTTATATATTATATATTTCTTATATATTATATATTATTCTTATATATTATATATTTTTATATTATATGTGTCATATATGTTATATTTTATACATTATCAGTTTCTTATAGGTATTTATATATTTAATGTAGTTATATATTTTACATATGTATTAACATATAAATATGTTTATTTCATATATTAACATATAGATTATATTATATATTTTATATAACATATTTCTTATGGATTAAATATTTATTCATCATCTTTTTCCTTATATATTTATATAGTATATATTTTCTTATATATTTATTATTTTTATATATTATATATTTCTTACATATATATATTTTACATATAATATTATATAACATTTATTTTATATATCAGCTTATATATTATATTATATATTTTTATACAATATCTATTTCTTATCTATTGAATTTTTATTTCTTATATTTTCTTATATATTTATATATTGTTTATAGTATATACTTCTTATATATTTTTATATTTTACATATAGTTAATATATTTATATAATATGTATTTTATATATTAGTATACATTCTACATATACTATATATTTTATATATTTCTTATCTGTATTTTTATGTCTTTATAGATTATATATTTCTTCTATATATTTATACATTTATAGATTTACATATTGATACGTAAAATGTAATAAAATACATTTTGTTATTTACTTATTTAATGTTTATGTATTTAAACTTTAATATGTAAAGTATAATAAAATGTGTTTCATTTATATTTAAATGTATTTTAAAAAATATTTTAAAAATGCTGCTGAACTGTGGAGCAGAACAAACATCTACAGAACACACTGGACAGATGATTTAAGAGAATTAAGAAAAGGGACAGACCAAGCTGAAAAAAACCCTTCCTCCTGTTTCCCAAAATAATCCCATTCTGAGACAGCTACATAAGACCACAAAAATTAAAGAACATGCTTTCAGAGACAGAAATCCCCGCAGTTAATGCCTGAGTGAGACATAACACAAGAAAAATAAACAACAAAGAGAAAACACTTTGATTTGAGGCTGCAGCTCCACCAGTATTCCAGCTTTGGCTTTTCCCTTAACAAGAACTGCCAAAGCAAACAGGCTGCCATGGCCATTTTTCCTCCTCAAGTACAAAGATGGTTGTGACGAGTCATTCACAAGGAAAATTCTCCAGGGGGAAGTTATGAGGGGAAACGTTCGTGGTTGAGAGTCCCTGAAGAAGGAACCTCATATTCTGTTCATATTCCCAATAATTTCTGGTGCTTCTTACCATTACTACCCAGGGCCTTCATAGTGACTTCCATCTGGGCATATTCATAGCTGAAGTTGATCTCACTGGACACTTCACTGGAATTGTCTCCATCTACATCCAGCTGCTCCACACTGTTACTGCACTTCATGGAGTTGTCCCGCTCCTCATCCTCATGATCTGCCTTCTTTTTCTTCTTTGGCAAATTCAGCCTTTAAATAAGAGGGAAATTGTTAAAGAACCATTAATTGCTCAACTCTGAGACACAGAACTGAAATCCAGATCAGTAGATTCTTCCCTTTCAAAATTTGTTGATCTCCAGTGAGTGTAGTTTGGGAGTAGAAGGCAAACTAACCAATCCATTCTGTACTCTATTAATAATAGAGTATCTCATATTATCAATTATACATCATGAAATTTTTCACATCCAAACAATTTAGAGGCAATAATGAACTGATATCTTCCTTTTTATGCAGATTCTTCTTTCAAGCATAAAAAAAAACAACGAAGTTTTAGGTTATCATTTAAATCCACTGATCTTTAAGGTATTTCAGAGGGTTGGTGCAAACATACAACTCCTTTGACATCTTTTGTACCTGAAGAAGTGGTTGTTTCCCCACAGGATCCTGTCTCCATGATGGAGCTGGATTGGACACACGACAGCAGAACCATTTACAAATGTCCTGTGAAAAGGAAAAAATCTAAAGCAAATGCATCTATATAAGGCTTAATTTTTCCCCTCCCTATACTATTTTCTTTACTGGAACAAGTAAGGGTAGGAGAACAGGTTTATGTCTTGCAAACAGACAAAATATCCCCAGAAAGTTCACTGATCTACCCAGTTTCATACACTCCTCAAACTCGGCTTGTTTTGATCTCTTAAGCTTATGAATTTCAGTATATTTAGACAGATATTATGACACTGTGTCTGAGTAGCAAATTTAGAGCTTAAAAATGAAGGGCCTGAAAAAAAAATGTCACTAGAAAGAAACACTTTCACACTACATTGAAATACAGACATAAAGCAGAAAGTTTTGAATAAGACATTAGACACCTTTGCTACTTAAATAGCTTAAAGACAATAAACTAATTAAAATAATCAGAAACTACTTTTATTTCAGAGTCAGATTAAGTTTGAAAATAGGATTGTAGGATAACTCAAATTTGAAGGGAATCTCAGGGTGCCATCCACTCCAATCTGCTCCAAGCAGGATCAGCTACAGCTCAGGGTAAACGTGAAAATGGTGAATTTTGTGTGTTAACAAGAAATTACTGGAGATGCTGACACTGCATGTCATCTTGTGATCAATTTGAATGTACCATCTGCTTCTCAAGTAGTGCTACTTAATCAAATAAAGCAACAAATGCTTCAGCAGCTCTTTGCATATCAACAGATTTCCTAGAAAATTAATTCAAACTTGGATAGAGTTACATCTCTGCAGCTGCAAATCAGGGAGTATCTACTTGTTGAAAGCACATAAATTTACTCATCCCCTCTTTGAAAACTCGGGCTACAAACACCATCTCTGAGAGAAATCTCATTAGAATGAAGCACATGAATTGAGAACTGAGAGAGAGGCAGATGACAATTAAAATGTAAAATCAGGATACAAGAAGTAGAATTTTCTTGCTTCAGAACAGATAGAAAAGCTTATTTTCCAAGCATCTTTTTGCACCACTAATCATATTATACTAAATAAAATGACAATTATTATAAAACTGGAGCTGTATTTTTTAACTTTACCTGGTATTTTTTTGAGGAGTTAACATAACCTGGCCTTCTGGGGTGATGTCTATGATGCAGTGCTCAGGAAGAATTCCCATTCCACACAGCTGGATATCTTGGGAGTTGTCTGAGCCTATTAACGTGTGCTCCTGGGGAGAAATTAATTTAGACTTTAGCAAGGGATTGCAAAAGTTCACTAGTTCTATCTCCTTCTGGATGTATCTTGTCATCTAGTTCCAAAATTTGACAGCTCTTTAACACTTCCCTTAGAGGGAAAAAGAAGGAAGCATTGGAAGCAAATCAATGCTTTGTCTTACAGTAGCAAGCAGGGAGCACTCAGGAAAGTTTACAGGCAACAGTTAAATCCAAAAATGAAGAGGGTTTTATAAATTAATTGTGGAATTCAGTGCCTTGGGACACTGTAGAAGCTAAAGGTATAAAGAATTCCAAAGAGGAATTAAGGGAGGTTCACAGATCCATGGCTACTGCACAGGTTCCATCCGGATCAGCAACACCTTAGGAAAGAAATTCCTGAGGTACTAGAGGCATGAGGGATTTGGCAGATGAAGGATCACTCCACACACAGAATTATAGAATAATTTAGGTTGGAAAAGACCTTATACATCAAGTTCCAAGTGTTCCCCCAGCACTGCCAAGGCCACCACTGACCCATGTCCCCAGGTGCTACATCCACAGAGCTTTTAAATCCCTCCAGGGATGGCGACTCCACCACAGCCCTGGGCAGCTTTGCCAGGGCTGGACAATCCTTTTGGGGCTGAAATTTCTTTTTTAGGCATCTCTAAGTAATTTTTAGGGAACAGATGCAACAGACAGGCCAGCTGAAGTTGTTCTTCAGTAGTTGTCAGACCCAGTGCATACACAGCTCAACACTGAAGGGAATGTGGGCAGCATACTCTGAGTTTAATCTCAGGATTTTAGGAAAACCAGGCCTAAGTCACTTTATCAAAAGAATTTCAAAGCAAGGGAGTTTCTACACCAAGATGCTCAACCCAAATTGAGTTGTTAAAAAAAAATAATAAAGATTAACTGAAGCAGACAAAATCTACTCCAAGGAGTTTTCCCTAGAAAAGGAAAGCAGCCCAGAACCACCTGAGACTTTCTTGCTGGTACTGGTGGGCCAAGGCCTGTTTTCTGAGCAGGCTTTGCCTTTGGAGGGTCTTGTTCTGTGTTCCCAGTGACCACTGGGAGAACTGGGCTCTGCCTCAACATCTGCCACTGTCCAGGCTGAATTAGCAGCTGAGTCCCACTGTGGACATTTATGGACAAGGCATCTCAGAAAGATTCCACTGTTCTCCCAGACCCTCAGCTCTTCTGTCCTTTTTAAAGTTTTTTTAGCAGCTACAACACTGAAAAAGTTTTTTTCCTCATTTTTATTGAGATATCACAGAGCCAGGATGACTGATCTAAAAGAGGATCACGTACTTCCCAAGACTAACTAAACCAAAACCATCTTTCAGCCTAATTGCTGATTTTGTGGCTGTTTTGAGAGTTACTACAGACCACTTCAAAGGGAAGAGAATGATTTAATGTGAAGCTCAAACTGCTGATGTTCACTGCTAAATTTTTAGAAATTGCACTCCAAAATGTGACTTAAAAATTTCTCCTCCTGAGTCCCACACCTATAATTTGTAAAAACCAGAATAAACCACCCAAATGTTTCAGCACAGAGTCCAAAAGTCACGTGTTTCATGTTTAATATCAGAAACAGGGGCTGCACATCAACAGAAGTGCTGAGGCAGAACAGAGTTTGATTTTTACTCCTGGCAAGTTGCATGAAGAGGATTAAAAAAGGCATTTTATAAATTGAAGACAGGACTCAGAATTTGGACTACAAATGCAGAAGCTGATTACTGATATGCCCAATCTCTATATAAAACAATTTGATGGGAAAAGGTTTGTGGAAGTTGGCACAAAAAAACCAACCAACAAAAAACCCCACATCCCAAAACAGGAGACAGTTTCTCAAAAAGAACATGTCTAGATTTCTTTCAAAAACACCCAAACAGAAACAAAACAAAAACATAAATCCCCAAACTTTCCTCTGCCATGAAGAATTAAATCTGAAATAAAAAGGTTGTACTCATATCAATTTTAATATGCACATATTTTGAATATATTTACTTACACTGTTTTTCTAAAACTCTCTAAGTACACCTCTGCCAATGGCATTAGAGGCCCACTTCTACCATTAAAAACATATTTAAAATTATATTATAATAAATATTATTTAAATCATATTTATAATAAATACATATATATTTACCTTTAAATAGTACACCAGAAGTTCATTGAGAGCTGGATCTGCATTCAAATTGACCAGGAAGCACTTATTATCCCCAACTTTTATTCCAGAAGACTGAAGGGATATGCCAAGGCTTTCCAGCTGTTTCTGACGCTCCTGCAAGAAAGCAGCCATCAAAATTGGGCTGACTGATGTACAACCCTCCGGAATTCCATTCCCATCTGCCAGAGCAACGGGACAAAAATGATGGATTGAGGCTTCTACGACAGGTAGTTCTTTCTTCTGAGATAGATTAGACACAAAAGCCTCAGTTCTACCAAGGTTTGATCAGGATTATCCTTAATTTCTCCTGTCCTTCCACCTCTGGTCTCGGAGGGCTCCGTGCTGGGGTCTCACACAGTCCCATATTCCCAGTGGAAAAGGAAAGCAGCCGAGAGAGCAACACACTGCAGCTCTGTGGAGCTTCTCCATGACCTCACCGGGACAGCAAAATGCTACCACAAAGCCATCTCTAGAGCCCTTTATTTTCTCTTTGGAGCTAAAAAGCAACAAGTTAAGTTAAATCCCTGCCAAGTCAAGCTCCATGTCTGTCTTTTGTTGCAGAGTAATCAAAATGACAAAAAACTGGCAACCTGCTATTTAAGTAATGCAAAGAACACTTCCTGCTGAACAAGAATAGCAGCGTTTTGGATGGTGTTTTGTTCTTGTCAATGGACTTCATAGAAATGCACAACAAAGCATTACTGTGCAAAAATGTCCATCTTTCAAAGGGAAGTGTTTGGGTGAGACCAGAGCAGTGAAAGAGGAACATTAAACGTTTCTGACTTAGGAACAGAAAGGGATTCTTCTACAAAAAAACACATTTGGGATAGAAACCTCGAGGATTGTTCCCAGGATCAGACAGAAACTGAAGTGAGACTCACTGTCTACAAAAAAATTAAAAGTAAATAGGGGAGGCTTCTCACAGGATCACTAAGGGGAAGCAGAAACAGGAGAGGGTGAAACTAGTTAGTAAAAAAAATACAAGATACCTACAGTGCTTTGCCTGTGCTGCTAAGACTTCCTAAAAAATACAAAATTAGCAAAGATATGTAGGAATAACACTGGAATGCTTATTAAAGTTCTGATCTTTGCCTACCAGTGTGTTTTGTATTTAAAAACTGAGTATGAATACTGCTGAGTGTAATTCTCTGTTCAGCACTGGAGTTGTACCAGGTCTAACGAAGATTAAATTGCAAAGAATAGCACAACCTGCTCTTGATTTTCTCTTCTCTGTCTCCCCACAGGCTCACAAAACCAACATAATGTCCTTGTAAGGAAAAGTCATGTGTGTGAGAGAGAGAAAACAAAGAACAGAGGAAAAACTGCAGGGTGATGTCAAAGATCCCTCTTCCGATCAGCAGTGCCAGGCTCCAAAGTTCACAGAATTCCTTATTATCTACAGAGATAAAGAACATGATGCCCAAAGGAGAACTTGGCCCACAGTCTAAATCTCACAGGATTAACTGAAAGAAAACGAGCCAGTTTCTGTTAATTTTCGCTCAAGACCTAAGTTAATAAACCTAAACACTCAAAAACACATTAAAAGTGTGTCAAATATTCACTGAAAATGTGAAAAATTGCCTGTTGTTCTTTGAGGCTGTGGAGCCTTATTGTCACTCCATCACTACAAACTGTCTCTTTGATGGTGTTTTATGAGGAATCATCCTTTCCTCAAAGATTTACAATTATCTCCCCGTCCTACCTGCTGCAATTTGACAGACAGACGTTGGTGGATGCTGGCCAGAAACAAAACCACTCACCAAGCCATGGTATAAATGTCTTTAGCCTTAGACCTGCCTAAGTCTGCAGTGTTGGGTTTGCATGGCCAGGTTTTGAAAGCAGTGGGGCTGCAGGGGTGGCTTCTGTGAGGAGCTGTCAGAAACTTCCCCGGGTCCAACAGAGCCAATTCCAGCTCCAAGACATACCTACCACTGGCCAAGGCTGAGCCCATCAGTGATGGTGGTGATGAAGGGGAAAAAATCCTGCACAACTTCAGGCAGAGAAAAAAGGAGTGAGAACATGTGAGAGAACCAACCCTGCAGACTCTCAGGGCAGTGCAGCAGGAGGGGCAGGAGGTGCTCCAGGCACCAGAGCTGAGGGTCCCCTGCAGCCTGAGGTGCAGCCCATGGAGAGGCAGCTGTGCCCCTGCAGCCCAGGGAGGTCCATGGGGGAGCAGAGATCCACCTGCAGCCCCTGGAGACCCCACACCAGAGCAAGGGGATGCCCAGAGGAGGCTGTGACCTGTGGGAAGCCCAGGCTGGAGCAGCTCCTGGCAGGACTTGTGTCCCCATGGAGAGAGGAGCCCACGCTGGAGAAGGTTTGCTGGCAGGACTTGGGACCCCACGGGGGACAGATCCCACTGGAGTAGCCTGTCCCTGAAGGACTGACCCCGTGGAAGGGACCCACACTGGAGCAGCCTGTTCCTGAAGGACTGACCCCATGGAAGGGACCCACACTGGAGCAGCCTGTTCCTGAAGGACTGACCCCATGAAAAGGGATCCCACACTGGATCAGCCTGTTCTTGAAGGATTGACCCCACGGAAGGGGCCCACACTGGAGCAGCCTGTTCCAGAGGGGCTGCACCTCATGGAAAGGGTCCCAGGCTGGAGCAGTTCAGGAAGAACTGTAGTCTGTGGGAAGGACCCAATCTGGAGAAGTTCCTGGAGGACTCTCCTGTGGAATAGACCCCTGGAGTAGGGAAGAGTGTGAGGAGTCCAACTCCTGAGGAGGAAGGAGTGGCAAAGACAATGTGTGATGACCTGAGCACAGCCCCCATTCCCTGTCCCCCTGCACCACTCAGGGGAGGAGGCAGAGAAAATCATAAGTGAAGTTAAGCCTGTGAAGAAGGGAAGGGTAGGGGGGAAGGTGTTTTAAGATTTATTTTTATTTCTCATTACCCTACTTTGATCTGATTGCTAATAAATTAAACTAATTTTCCCAAGTCAAACCAGTTTTGCCCATGACAATAATTGGTGAGTGATCTCTCCCTGTCCTTATCTCACCCCGTGAGCCTTTTGTTACATTTTCTCTCCCCTGTCCAGCTAAAGAGGGCACTGACAGAAGAGCTTTGGTGGGCACTTGGCATCCAGCCCAACCCACCAAACCCACTGAAGATGTCAGAAGGTTCCTTTACTGTCTTCCAACCAGTCCTGAATCAGCCTGTGCTGTACAGTCCTCACCCCCCTCTGGAAAAAAAAAAACACTTTTCCAAGGCTTGTAAAACTCCAAGATCCAAAACATCCTATCAGGCTGGGAATTTAGAGACAGAGAGGACAAGAGCTAGAGCACACAGCAACATGCAAACATCAAGGAACATTTAATCTGTAGAGCTGAGCCCACTACTTCAGTTTTTCAACCTCCTCACACACTCAGGATTTCTAGAAACTATTGTGTAGGATGAGAGCAGAAATTTTTTATTATTTTTGATTTTATTTTTTTACACAGGGAGGAAAATCCACAGTACCAATCCGCACTGAAAGCCAGGAAACCCTCAGAGTCACAAGCAGCACCTCTTACAATGGATCTTTAAAACCAAAGTCAACACAGTTTATTCTGATTGTGGCATCTACAAGAGGGCTTTGTACCAGAGGCTCCCTTCTCTCCTTATTTATTACACACTATTCATCACCTTCCAACCAGTCCTCCCCCTCCAGAGCTCCCCTCTGCAAATATCTACATCAGCATTTGTGTGGGAAGAACTAGAAGTGTCATGGAATCATCGTGGTGACCTGTGTCATTTTTCAACATAACCATCTTCAATTATGGTCTGAGGCCCTAAATATCAGTTTAAGAGCTATTAAAACACACAGAGATCCTGGACAGCTCTAATTTTTAATATTCTGGATGCCCTTTGCCTTGTGCATTGAGCCTGTCAGCTCACAACCTTGCACTGAATGCTCCTGTCCCTCATCACAAACAATTCTACTGCCTGAAGAATATAAAATCCTTGTAATCCTCTCATCCCTGGATTATTATTTTTTTAAATAACTTCTCCATTTGCATACAGTGACAATTTACTATTGTCACTGCAATAGTAATCTGGGAGGCACCCATCTATCACAGGAATTAAGTGAAGCTTTTCAAAAGGGCAGCAAGCTTGACCTACTTACCCATAAATGTGGGGAGAGACTCAGACAACCTCTATGAACTGACAGACAAAGAAAACAAACCTATTTTTCATAAAAAATGGGGGCAGGGGAGAGGAAAGAAAGTAGCAAACCTGAGCTATCTCCTCAGTTTTTCGTAATTTTTCTTCCCAGGTCACAGTCATCTCCTGAATCAACTTCTCAGATTCCTCCAATCGTTCTTTTAATTCGGGTGATTTCATAGCCTGCAGGAATAAAAGCAAATGAAAGAAGAAAGCTTGTTGTGCTTTGTGTTTTTTTCACACCAGTGTCACACAGATGGGGGGAAAAAAGGCAACATGACTCATTTTGCAGGGCAGACTTAGCAGTAAGTAAAGGGGTTTTTAAATACATATTTCAAGTAAATGAGAATCCATCAGAAAGTTACTTTAATTAGTTTCAAGTGCAAATATTAATGTGGAGTTTATAGACTTCAACACAAACCAATTAAATGATACTGGTAGATTTGCACAAAGATACTCAAACACAAACTAATCTCTTTTCTATCCCAATGTGAGTGTCCCAAATGACTCATATCAAAATCAATCTGGTTTCTCAAGATCCTGCTGATTTGGCTTGGCATCATCCTCTCAGCTGTCATACCCTCAAAATGACACTTCCCTTCTCAGTAAACTGCCATGCCACCAAAATATTTTTATTGTTCACTTTTATATGGCCCGATTGGTGTGATTTTTCTTTTCTATAGTGAATGTCCAGGCACCTGAGGTGTTCTAGTTGTCCACCTCTGCATTTAGAAATGCAGTTTACAGGGTGAACATCAAAACTAGCTTAAAGTGTGCTTCAAGGCACCAAAATTCAATTTTCTTGCTAATCCATCACAGCTCTAATGTTATTTTGTGAAATATTCAAAGGCAAATGTTTCATCCAAGGACTAATTTAAGAATAAGAGGATCCCCCCACTGCCACCCATCAGACACTTCAAAAACATTGCCCCAGCCCTGGAAGTGCTCAAGGACAGGTTGGACAGGGCTTGGAGCAAACTGGGATAGTGGAAGGTGCTCCTGCCTGTGGCAGAGGGTTGGACTAGAAGAGCTTTAAAAGGTCCCTTCCAACTCAAACTACTGTATGATTTTTCTATTACATGTATTCTCTTCCTTCATTCTCAGTAATGGCATTTCCTCCTCGACTACCTTGATCAAAAAGCCTGTGGACTTTCTTATCTCATCATTTCATTACTGCTAATGATGAAAATGGTTTTGGCTGGTAGGTGTTTATGCAAAGCCAATTAAATAATGTAAGCATAGTTCTCTGTCAGATATTCCATTACCACAAAACCAAAACTCCTCGCAGGAATCCAGATCAAAGAGTGGCCTCATTACACTGCAGTTTGTTCAAGAAAAGGAGCAAGTGCCAGGATTGGAAAATCCTGTTTTGAGACAGGAGTTTCCTCTGCCTCAAGACACAACAGTCTAGGAACTGTCATCTGATGTGTCCTGTGTGGGCTTTTTCTGCTTCAAATGCCTAAATATAGGGTAAAAGGGAGAGGGGCTTTGGACAAGGGCCTGGAGGAACAGGACAAGGGGGAATGGGTTCCCACTGCCATTAGTGGGAAGGAATTGTTGGCTGTGAGGGTGGTAAGGCCCTGGCACAGGTTGCCCAAAGAAGCTGTGGCTGCTCCTGGATCCCTGGAAGTGTTCAAGGCCAGGTTGGATGGGGCTTGGAGCAACCTGGGCTAGTGGAAGGTGTCCCTGCCCATGGTAGGAGGGTTGGAACGAGATGATCTTTAAGGTCCCTTCCAACCCAAACCACTCTGTGATTCTATGAATTCCACACAGGCAGGAAAGGAAAGCCAAGCCAATCTCCAGAACAAAGATGCATCATGACAGACAAAACATGATCAGTGCAAAGGGGCTGGACCCTACAGAGCAGGACAGGAAGATGAAGCCCAGATACTCTCAAGGTTTAAGTCTTGTCTGTCCCTTTATTTGGACCTGGGGCAAAATCAGTGAACATTTTCACATGCTTCAACTGTACAGTGACCTGGGTAACTCTCCTCCCTCCCTGCAACTCTCATATAAACCCCAGAGATATGGGCTCAGGCTGACATCAGACCCACAGATGTGCTGCTCCACTGAAAACAGGTACATTCCCAGCTTAGGGAGGACAAGCTGGTGGTCTTGACTCAGATAAATTAAAACACGTGATATTAATTTCAGCAAGAAAATATCTAAATGTGTGGATTGAAAAAGAAAAAGGGAAAAGAGGATAATGCCATACTCTTCAGGGGGGGGAAAAGTCAACTGTTAAGTTCTGTTCTGCCTTGGCTGTTCAGGAGAGAAAAGGCTACTGACACCAAAAGGTAAAAAAACCCAAACCCACAACTTGGCATCCTCTATATTTGGAAATGAGCTTGGAGAATGTAACCTGTCATAATGAGTCAGTGTTTTTGTTCACTTAAGGAAGTTATTTATGCACATTTCTGTAAGAACAATTAGATGGGCAACAAATGTAATGAACTGAAAGGAGCACAAGGCTGTGAATGTGGGGTTTGACCTTTACTGTGCAGCCTTGTAACAGCAAATTGCTCTGGTTTTTCCCTGCTCTTTGTCAATGCCACTGAGATGACAACTAGGGTGGGATTTTAATACTTGGGAAAGGAAATATTTATTACTTCATCTTTAGGAAACATTACTTCATTATTTTGGAAAGCTGCCATTATTTGGGCACTAATGCTAGAAAATTAAACAAACGGGGGTTACTTGCGGTTCCCAGAGCACTGTTAAGTCCGTGGTTGATATTTTAGAGGAATTTTTAGATATTTAAGATTTAGATATTTGAGATACCTCAAAGAAACTGATATGCACATATTGGATGTTTAGGATATTAGGCAGCTCAAGTGAGAACAGTCCAAAATTCACTAGTCATTTGTAGTATCACAGCCAGCATTCCCTGCATACCTCATGAGGCAAATCCTGTAATCGTAATTTTTCTGAACAGCAAAGCAGGGGGATTACATCAGCGCTGCTTTGCCCCATTTGAGAACAGGACTCAGAATTACACTAGTTCTTGGCCTTCATCTAACAGGCCATCTCAAAATTTCACTGAGGAAGCAATGCAGATATTAAAAATATTGTCTAGTGCCTCTAAGAGATTCAACTGAGAACAGTTACAGCCTGTGAATGAGCAAGAAAACTCCATTTAACTGAATTCACATCTCCCAGGCTACGCTGTGTCTACACTGAATTCTCAAAGGCAAAGCTCTGCCCACAAACTACCCAGTCTTAAGAATCCACCCCTATTCCTGTCTCCATGTCCTCTGCAATACACCATAAAACCAAGATTGCTCAGGGTGTTCAAACTGAACCTGGTATCTCATTTTTTAAGGTATCAGAGAGTGTCCAAAGAAGCATCGAAGATGGTGAAGGGCCTTGAGGGGAAACCGTGTGAGGAGTGGCTGAGGGTACTTGGTGTGTTCAGCTGGAGAAGAGGAGACTGAGGGGAGACCTCACTGCAGTTACAGCTTCCTCGGGAGGGGAAGAGGAGGGGCAGGCACTGAGCTCTGCTCTGTGTGACCAGTGACAGGACCTGAGGGAATGGGCTGGAGTTGTGTCAGGGCAGGTTTAGGTTGGATATTAGAAATAGGTTCTTCCCCCAGAGGGTGGTTGGGCACTGACCAGGCTCCCCAGGGCAGTGATCACAGCACCAAGGTTGCCAGAGCTCAAGGAGCTTTTGGATGATACTCTCAGGCACAGGGCGTGACTCCTGGGGCTGGTCTTGTGCAGGGCCAGGAGTTGGGACTCGATGATCCTTGTGGGGCCCTTCCAACTCAGCATATTCTGTGATTGAACACCCACGTTTCAAGACCGACACAGGGAAAGGTGGAAAAAAATCATATCGAAGAAGATTTCTCACGGGTACCCTGTAGCAGTATTATTATTATAAATATTTTATATAAATATATATATTTATATATATATAAAATTATATAGCATGATGTAGTAGCATTGCCTTGGGGTATCCGCTTTCTAGAGCCGGGTAAGACGGCGCTGACCACGGGTTTCACAGGATCTCCTGGCTTAGTCCAAGGCTCAAATTTGTACCTCAGCTTTCGTGAGCTGCTCCCTCAGCTTCTCCACCTCCTCCCGGAGCTCCCGGATGATGCGAGCGTTGGGGTCCTCGTTGACCACGGCGTGGTTGACGATGTTCTTGGCCCTGTCCGCGTATCTCAGGGTGGAAAGGGTCTCATCGTAGTTATCCGCTGCTGGGCTCACCGTTGCCACCATGGCAGTCTTGCTGTTCCCACCAAGGCTATCCTGGAAGGTGGGAGAGGTCATGGAATTAAAAGAGCAGGCTTCTTTTGCTTTACCCAGTCAATAAACTCAGGCAGCGAATGATAACCCAAAGTTTGGAGTAGATGGGTGCAGATAAAAGCAGAAATACTGTTGGTAGTTCAAAATTAAATGATGTGTAAATCAAGGAAAAGTTGTAATTTTCAATATGATTTTTTTAAAGCACGTTTAGGAAATGTCGTTCTCGGCTTTCAGAATCAGTTTTAGTTGCAACAGGAATGAAAAAAAAGTCCCTTTTTTGGGCTTTACAGTGCCTAGAAAGGGCTTCAAAAGTTTAATTCAGTGTTTTCTGTGTAGGTTTATAAACATAAGCACTTAATCATTAAACTTCTTAGATACTGCCGAGGGAGCTCAGGAAAGATCATGATGAACTCAAAATATCTTATTTTAAAGACTAGAAGAGAGACCTCTCCAATAAATACTTAAATTACTAAAAGATCTCCTCATAAACAATACAGCTGATTCTATTCCTATAAACATTTCAGGATGGGGCTCTTCCCTTCCTCCCACTGACACAGCTCACAAACCTAAATCGAGTTACATAAGAAATTACCCTCCTGGAATTTGGTTGACAGAGAAGAAGGGTGTGAAACCACATTCCTGCAAGGCAGAGTGTCAGGGGCAGAGGAGGAAGGAAAAATGAAGGAAGGAAGGGTTCGATCTTTTCATTGATCATAAAATCGTGGTTTACAATTTTGGCCAGTCTAAAAGATAAAATATCCTGTTTTTTTAAATTTTGCAGCAGATTTTTTTTTTCTTTTTTTTTGGTTGGTTGGTTGGGGGTTTTTTTTTCATTTGTTTGGATTTTTGGGGGGGTTGTTTTGTTTTTTTTACCCAATATCCCTTCCTGAGATGAACCATGCTATTAATTTTCATCTCCAATAACCCATGAAATCTAGGTCAGGCATTGCCATTAGAACAATCTGACTGCATTAGCTGCCTGTTCAACCATTTCGATTACACAGCACACGTGCAGCTTTCCCCAGAAATCATTAAAACACCCCTTTAAGTATTTCCCCAAGACACTTTTTGGCTGGATGATGCCTAAAACACTTTGACAGCTGTCTGGCTGCTCCAGAGGTCAGACAAGCACTGGGCACACAGCCTGATGAGTTGGTAGCACTTTGTTGTCTCTTCTCATGCAAAAGGCCATGAAATTCATATAAATATAAATATATATATATGTATTTATAGTGTTCAGCACACTGAGGTGCACCAACATGGTTAGCATGTGCAGGTAAGAATATTTATAAAGAAGTCAACTGCAAAAACCAGTTCTCTGTCTGATCCCACCGTGGGTTTTTTTCTCATCTGAGGAGCAACCAACATTTACTCCAATAAATACATGGCTTGGGAGGGTCCACTCTGTACCACAGAAGAATTTTTCCAAGGCAGCCACTGAAAACATGAAGACCAACAACAGCACATGTCTCATTTGATGGGATTTCTGGGCCAAAAATTAGGAATGACACCCTGCAACTGCAATCCCTGTTCTGCATAAAAAGGTGAAGTTTGGCAGGGAGCTGGCCAGGTACTCCCCTTTCAAACCCAACCTTAACAGCCTGTTAAGGGAATACTTGGGAATACTACTTGGGAATGCCCTTCACTGGACTAATTAGCTCCAAAATAGGATTAATTCATTATCTGAATTGCAACTCTGCTGTACAGGCAGCTGAGAACGCTGTAACAGTGATACACCAGAATCCACAATACACCCTTTATAAGTTGGGTAAAGTCCCTCTTGTAGCAATTCAAGCCCAATGCCAGACTGTCTGATAAAGTTTTATGTATAAAACCCTTGTGCTGATTTCACTGGTTTCTTTAATGCTAATCAAGAAAGGTGGACAAATAGTAAATCAGCCTCTCATTAGCAAAGACAGTGCCTGTAAACGACCCCAGCAAGGCTGGGCCTGCATGTGATAGAGAGGCAGAGTGGAAATAAGTAAGTTTAGTTATTTCTAAGCCTAAACCAGCCCAGTCTTCTCTAACACCAAGATTACTGTGACAACAACTCAAAATGTTGAGATCAGAAATGACATTTTCAATAGCAGCCATCAGTAAGCCACGCAGGGCTTCTGATTATCAGGGGAAAACAAGATGTTTGTGCCAATATTTTGCTAAAAACAAGAAGTTAAAGGACTGACAAGCTATTTTGCTTCCTACACATAACCTGATGCTACTCCTCAAGCAAGAATATTTTTCACCTGGTACTTCTGCCTAAAGATCCTGAATAAAATTAAGCAAAAACCGTTAGATCTTGAGGTCTCCTGAACTCTACTGGTTTCTCAGATTTGTGAGAGACACTTTATGACAGATATTCTTACAGCTAAAACACATTCAGTCTGCTTTGGTATCATAATTAAAAGCTGAAAGCTACAGAGAAAGACACCCTATCTCATGGCTTCTCCAAACAGGCCTCTTTACAAATAAATCTCTCCTTTGATCTTTAATTAAAAAAAAAAAAAAGTTTAAATTTTCCCCCTTTCAAAATAAAGCTTCAATGAGCTTGTTTGTAAGAAATCCAAAAGCCCCAACCCTTTTGTTTGCACTTAACATGGCTGGATGTTGGACACAAAGAAGGTTTGCCTGAAAGAAGGCGGAACAAAAGTGAGCTCCCATTTCTGAGCCATTGGCATCGTGGCCACAATGCCCTGGACAGGTGCTAAACAGGAATTGCAGTCTGCTCCCTGGATTTGTTTAGCAGTGGGGCAGCATAACTAATTCTAACAACACTAGAAATTCCTTAGGAAAGTTTCCACTCTGCTTGCTCGGGGTGTTGCAGCCACATCAGGAACCTGAGCACACACGGCACTGGTTTTGTTCCCATCTCTGCAGAGAGCCAAAAAATCACTTGTTTATCATTAATTAGAGGAAAAACTCGGTGTAAATACACAGAGGTAAAAATATACTTAAAAACTAAAAAAGTCTTAGCCCAAGGGACACTGTGATATGAGGACTTATTTTACTCAGACACTATTTCTGTTGTGCCAGTTGGATTTTTACGTGGCCCTCGTGACTATTTGATGTCCAGTATTTGTGCTGCTCACACCAGGGAGTAGAGATAAATTGTTTCACAAGTCGTGCTAAAAGGTTTATTAAAAGGCAGCATTGAGAAAAATGAAGGTTTGTGGTGTCAAGAGACTACAAGAGCAGAGATTTTATGTTACTTAAGCACTGAAGTCAACTTTGTTTTCAAATCTCCTTAAGAAAAATGTCTTTTTTTTATCTCCACACCTCTGTATAACCTTCAAGCAACTTTGTATTTTTTTTTTCACTCGTGCAGTTAAATCACAGGGACATGAAATTCGACCAACATCTAAAAATATTGCTAAGAATGGATGGGGAAGCCAAGCAGAGTATTCAGGACAACAAAATGTAGCCAGACCACTTACAAAAGAGGACAATAAAAGGCAGGTGGTGGCAAAAATCAGTTTCTTCCCAGATTACCTCTTTCTACTAACAAATAGTTGCTCCTGGATAACAATTAAACAGAGCACAAGGGAAAAAAAAGAAATTTGACATACATAAATCTCATATTTAACAATTTGGTTTTTTCATTTAGACCTTACAGGTTTTCAGCCAACTGCCATCAGGATACGTTCTTTTTTCCCCCCAAAATAATAACAGATAGAGCCCTATGCAGCTCAGAAAATGACTTAACTGCTCATTTCACATGAATAGCATGTCTAAAGTCTTCTGATCTGTTCCTCAGACTGTTAACTGAGACAATGTTCTGCAATTATACTCTGCTGACAAAAGTATATTAACAAATATACGAGACAATCAGGAAAAGGTAATAATCTTCATAAAAATCTTCGAAGTTGATTCAAGTTGATTTCAAGTATGTAAAATTCAGCTGCGTGCAGAAATAGCCCAAATTAAATTAGCCCTGAGGCTGTGTGTGAAGCTGCACATACAGTGACCCATAAAAAAACACTGCTTTTAATTTTATTCCTAAAGTTCCTTAGTCTTTAGGCCATTGCAGGTCATTGCAGAAGACAGGGAACATATTTAGTCTGTAGAGATACTGATGGCTTCCATCCAGCTCATTTGCCAAAGACACTTATGGTTAACATCAAACCCAGAAAATAAGGTGAAAAGAACAGAATTTCATTTCATTAAATGAGAATCTTTTCCCCTTTTTCTCTCTTTTATTGCACTTAAAAAAAAAACCAACTTACTTACTTTAAGTAACCAAGTGAGCACAGAATCACGATATGGAACAAATTTGTTCTTGTTCTTGCCAGCAGCCTGATCTGCCAGGGCAGAAATAACCAACCCAAGAGTTGTGAGGGATCTGCCCAGAGAACACAAGAAGTCATTAATGAGGGTAAATATTCATAAGCCAAATGCATATTTAGACAGTGACTTTCTCTCCAAAAATGTGCTCCCAGGGAAAAGTTCCTAGTACAAAAGCTCCACTCCTTTATTTTCAGTATGTTTTCACCCTTAATAATCAGGTTTTCATGATGACATTTGTGGTAGTTGCAAGAACAAAAGTATTTTTTAAATACATGGAGACGTCATTCAACTATCAAAGAGTATTGCATGCCAAAAAGAGAAACAGAGAGAAAGAGAGAAAGAAAGAGAGAAATAGAGAAAGAAAGAGAGAAAGAAAAAGAAAGAAAGAAAAAGAAAGGGAGGGAGGGAGGGAGGGAGGGAGGAAGACAGGGAGGGAAGGAGGGAGGGAGGGAAGAAGGAAGGAAGAAAGGAAGGAAGGAAGAAAGGAAGAAAGGAAGAAAGGAAGAAAGGAAGAAAGGAAGAAAGGAAGAAAGGAAGAAAGGAAGAAAGGAAGAAAGGGAAAGAAAAAAAAAGAAAAAAAAAAAAAAGAAAGAAAACTGACTACAAGAGTTTATATTGACTTTAGCCTATTTTCCAAGGAGGCTGTATTTAACAGCCATGATTGTACTGATAAAAAAAGAAAATAAATAATCTCAAAGCCTTACTTGTTAATGTTGCTTCCTTCTTTCAGCCTGTCCCCTGCAGCACCAGTCTTAGTTGCCCTTTCACTCCCTGCTAAGTCCACCAGGCTCAGCTTGCCCACCTTCTCACCTGATGTCTGTGGAAGGAACCAGAGAACAGTCACTGTTAGTTTACTTATTTTAAGTCACACAGTTTGATGTATTTTCCAACAAGAATCAAGCTTCATTTTTTGGTGTAAACTTTTGTTCCAACACCTTTGAGAACTGTTGGGATTGAACAGTGGCCTGTGCTAACTCATCACCTGTTGCTTCAGAAACCACTGAACGATCTGAAGCCAAGTCTGGGACACCAATATCTTCAAAACATCTCAGAAATCTCCAGAGGAGAGGTACACAGGGCACTTTAGTGAAGTGTTAAACCATGAAAAATGCAGAGTTACTACAGGAAAAGGAGTCATAACCAGGGACGTGGGGTTTACAATCACACCTTGAAAACAGTCTCCTAAAAATCTCAGATTTTATACCAGTTTTCTTCTGTTTTCCAGAGACTAATAATGACCACAACAAGCAGCAATAATCTATGAAAATTATTACAATTGCAAAGTCTCTTATATCCTTCTCAGCCTCCTGGAATGCAATCCAAGCTACGAGAGTATTTAAACCTGTAATGGAGATTTTGTTACAAATCCTTTTATCTCATTTGACCCAAAATGACACTGTGAAACACTCCATGAATTTCCTACGACAATCTGAAGAGCCAACTGCCTTTGAGAGCAGCTTGCTCACATCATGTTCTTCTGCAGCATCTGCAACTTCAGCATCTCAGTATCACAAAGCGCGACGTTCCCTCAAATGAATGGGATAATCAGAATCAATGTGCTTTCAAAAATGTTACCCTGAGCCTCTCAAAATATGGTCTGATTATCAAGCCACAGGGAAATGTGTCATTTCCAGGGCTGAAAGGACCAGCAGGTGGGAAAACAGAGAAATCTGCCCCAGAAGCTCACACAGTGGTCACTGGAAGATGTAGAAGGGATGGACAGTCAGGACGTCGACCACCTCGCATCCAGGCTGAGCAGGACCACCCAAAAACTAAGTGTGATGAGCCTGCAGCACAGCCACAGCAAAACTGGAGTGACAAACCATGGAAAATCCAGGAGTTCAGCACACTATGATGCTGATTTGAAGTGCAAAGGGGAAAAAAAATCCAAATAAAGAACGAGGGAAATGATGCAGATAAGAAGATCAGTGGAAACTGAGAAACAAGGAGGAAAAAAGTCCAAATACTCATTATGTTTTTCCAATATATTCAATATTCAGGCACATACATGCCTTAGATTTGCTCCATGGAGACTCGAATTTTCTCCAAAATTTTGAAAGTATTAAAGAATTGCCCAAGAACAGAATCTATCAACAAAGTTTAAAGATACTTATTTCAATTGAATTTTATCAGCATGTTCTGTGAGGGACTAAATAATACTGACATTATGTATTTCACACACCACTGCGAGGCATATTTTTTTATAAGGAAACATAAAGAAAAATATTCTCACATTTAAATGTCTTTTAGATATTTAATATATACACATAAAATATTAATGGCATACGATGCAAAATGTTTGAAATCAGTAATTTTCTTTTCTATTTAGAAAGTTGATGATTGATATATATTTGCATGAAATAACCTGAGGGACACTCAGGTGTTCTTCTATTTTTCATCTACACATTCTGTCTTTCATATGTCCTACACACTGCTTCCTAAAAGGAAGGGTTTCTTTTTTATGAAATACATCAAAGAAACATATCCATGCTTGACATTTGGACCTTGTAAGTTGTTTTTCTTACCCCTGATTGTACGTCATAGAGCGTGTGGGTGAGGGTAATCTTGAACACTGCGTGGGACCGACTGCTCTCCTCGTTCATGTTGGTTGCAGCCACTGTTCGGGATTTGTTGCCCTCAGACATCAAGGACTCGATGTCCTAGAGACAATTTGCACAGCCAGGAGAATATCTGCATTAACATTCTTCTCAATTATCCACAAAAATAATCTCATTTTGGTAAAATACAGCGTTTTCTCATGAGTTTCCCACTGTTTATTCATAAAGTATGAGGGGTAAAATGTTGTGATCTCTCCTTTAAAGCCCAGAAATTACAGTCATGACACTCCCCGACATAGATATTAAATTATCATCAAAATTATGCACCTGCCTGCAGACAGAAACACTCAAAAGCTAAGAAAGGAGTGAGGAAACAGCAATCCACGTTTGAACCCTGTAACATTTTAGCCTCGGTTGTCAGACACGTGTTCTTGGAATCTGGAGGCTCAAAGGGTTATAAAACAGAACCAGGCTGAACAGGTCATTATATTCCTTTAAATTTTAAAAGTTATAAAGCTTTTAGATGTGTTAAGCTGTGATACTTGAGGAAGGTGCCCCTCCTTCAGGGTTTTACAGTTAAAACTTCAGAGTCTTGGGCTTAACTTTTGTTTCTGCATCTCTACCTGGGTGATGCTAAAACAACTCAAAAAACAGTCAAACAACAGACCACCACAGACCATTTTGACTCCAAATGCTGGCTTACACAAAGCTGCTGGGCAACATGGAGAGGCAAAGCATGAAATGTGTCTTGATTTAGCAGAAACCACCAAGGAGTGGTAAATGAACACCTGGAGAAACTGCAATAGGAGGGATTGCACCATTTTCACATTTTGGTGACAATTCATTTTCATGACAGAATTGCATCCCTTATTTATCCATTTTTCCTGCAGTACATTGATGCTTCTTAAAAAATAGGCTGTTTTTTGAATGCATACATAAACATTTACTACCCAGCAAGCAAGTTCAGTGTGATGTTCTCAAATATTTGCTTTGTAAACAACCATTAGTTTATAATTCCACTGTGTGCTACTGGGAGGGGAAATTATTAGACTGGAGCACGACAGCCAAAAAGTGACACAGTGGGTACCGAGAGCCGGTCTCTGCTAAATCCTGGCTCTGTAATTAATCACAGAACACTTTCCCATGACAGCATACACTCATCTTAAGTCTGGGAGGAAATGTGTTTCATTAAACAGCTGAACTACTTCCAGAATTATTGAATAGTACAGGATGAAGTGAGTTTCTGCCCTTAACCCTGTTCTCCCCAGGGATCACAACACGACAGTCCTCAGCTCTCTTGCTCTAAAATCCACAGTGATGAGGAGCAGCTTAACAGTTCTGTCCTGCTTAGGGGACAGTACCCTGGTGTTTAGGATGTCAACACAAGCCTTTCATAAAATTGATCCTTACCTTGTAGCTAGCAACAGCTAGTTTGGATAGGCCATCTACGTAAGGGCCATAAACACTGTGTTCTCTAACCTTTAATGACTGACGGCTTCTGGTTGGGGAAAAAAAAGGTATTTATAAGCACATGACTGACTTGAGACAACATTTACACAAAGTCAATTCTCACTGACAGATCTCAAACAGGATGGTCTCGCAGATACTGTAATAAAGCACAGAACATGGACTATAATGCAAACAAAAAAGCCTTATGTCTACACGTAAAAAGCTGGCACAGACAGTTTTGTCACTTCATAAAAGGGGGTATTAGGGCAAATTTACTCCAAGCTTTTAGTCCTACTACTTTATTTTGTTTTAAAATGAGAGGATGCTGAGATCAGGAAGCAGCAAATGCCTTATATGGGATCCATTAAGGCAAACTGGTTATGGAAAGAGAGAGAGTGGGACAACATTCTACAGTGCTGATCACACACAGGTTACTTACCCTTTTGGGTCAAGGAGATCTCTGACTTTCTCATTGTATATCTCCATGTAGGATACTTCCACTTTGAAACTCTGCTCTTCATTTTCCTCTTTCTGTGCTCTTTCAAAGAGTCCACTGCAAAGTTTAGGGATTAATCCAGGCTGGTCAGCAGTCCCCATCATTGTGTATGATTTTCCAGATCCTGTGTGAGGGAATCTATGATTAGTGTACATGCAACAAGGGTTCTTGCTGGGCAGAACATTGATAGGAAATAGAAGAGGTTAAAAAGTTAATTAATATCATTCAGTGAAAGATTATTTGTTCAGTTTTCTACTTTAAATTAACCAAAATGCCACTGAGCTAAAGGCTATTTAATTAAAAGGAAAACAAGAAATTTAGTTCCAACTGCTGGAGAAGACTTTTTCAGGTAGATAGAGTAAATCACACCCCACTAACATCCACAGATGGGCCATGATGAGAAAACTCTTCACATTACTCTTTAAATATTACATTACAAATGACAATTCAAGATCATTCCACCTGCAGAGGCAGAAAATCTGAGCGATGCTCCGAACTCAAGGACAACCAGGGTCATTCCAAAGATCATAATCTAAACTGTGAGAAATAAGGGTAGCCAGCAGCAACAAAATCTTATTTCTCATCCTGCCCACTTCATATCTGATGCTAGAGGAGAGAAAAACATTTCTTATCTACATTAGAAAGCATTTCTCCTGGAACAATGTCACAACAGGCATGAAAAGAGTCCTCAGTCAGGACAGTGACACCTTTTGAGGGAAGAATATTTTTGCTTATCTGGGACTTACCCGTCTGCCCGTAGGCAAAGATGCAAGCATTGTAGCCTTCAAAGGCATTCTGAAGAATATTCTCCCCAAGGCACTTGAAAACAACATCTTGACCTAAAAAATAAAACACACAGGCGAACATTGGAACACAGCAAGAGGTATTTGTCCCTTGGTTTGGAATCTTGAAGGATTATGTAAAAGCAGTTGGTGTTTTCCTGCTTTTGTTGCCTAAATAATATCCAGTGTTTGCTCCCTGGACAGGAGCAAGTCCATCAGCACCACAAGATGGTTCTGTAAAAATCTGGGATTATCATGCCCATACCTGTATGTGTTTAAAGCAACATCCTATCAATGTTACACCCTGAAGTTTTATCAGCAGAGAATCTGCTGCCACCTGCAGAATTTAATCCACTGGTGAATGATACCCCCTCAAAATATACTCTACCTGCACATTTTAACAACAGTCAGTTGATTTTAATCTAAGGGAATCACTAGAGCACTGGATAATTTTACTGTATCAGATATTAAATAACACCATGAGGAGATTTTTGCAGAGAAAGAATCACAACTATGTGGAAGATATGGACAAGTACAAGATATGCATTAGCAAAATATAGGGTGTATCACTTCTTTTGTAATGGAAATTTGAGCTTTTCAGTTCCTTTTCCACTCAGAGGAAGAAAGGTTTAAAATGTTTGAGTAATATCTATTTAAAAAAAAAAAATCTCTATTTTGAGAATTTCTTTTATAAGCAGAGGAAGGAACAAGACATGGCAGAACTTTATGGACTGAAAGTCCTCTCAAATAAGTTAGTGTTCCTTTAAGCTCTTCTTTTTCTCTCATTGAAGTTCATATCTTTATAGATCACTAATACCTGGGCCAAGCTAAGCACAGTGAAATGGTTTTGGACCAAACCCTTCCACTGTATAACAGACCATAATATAAGTTATATAGGCACCTCCACCAGTTTGAGAAACAAAATATATACCTGCCTATGTAATTTGTATGGTTGAAAGTGTCACATTTTTCTCAGTTCCTTGATTAATTATTATTCATTAGCTATTTGTTAATGAAATAAAAATCAAGAATTGGATGCTCCTTTGATTTTTCTTGTGATTTTTTTGAAAATAAACAGTAACAAGTTCAACTGATCCCAAATTTTAAAAGATAACAAGTGTGAAAGGAATAGATGACAGGAGTGTTAAGTCATATTTTATCATAATTATTTGCTAAAAGGAGTTATAAAATACATAGAAAGCTTTTCATTAAATACATTGCACACTCTCACCTGAGCATCTGAATTCACATTGTCTATATTAAATTAGGCTTTTATTAATATTTCATTATTAAGTTGTACTGTGATGCCAAACTCCCATCAGCACTGTGAAACCTGAAACTACACAGAACAATGCTCCTCAAATACTGAAAATAAATGGTTTTGATGCTTTTACAACGATGGACTTGGAAAAGTACTTTAAATAAAGGTGTAAATATGAATAACCCATCAAGGTGATGGATTTCCCCATTCCCTACACTGCAAATGGGTGGCAGTGCCTGTTGCTGTTGTCAGAAACAGAAGTGATTGAAGATTTCCCTTTTCCTTTTGACAACAAACAGCCATACAGGGGACAGTACCTTGTGCCATATGGCCTGTGCCCTGTAGCAAAGACTCTATTTTAATGAGATCATTCCCACTTGGAGACAAGAAGCCACAATTAATATTACCTGCATATTTTTCTTTGACAGATTCATCCATAGACCAAAAGCAGTGATCATAAGCAAACACCTGTAGGGAGACAACCAGGACACCTCATAAAATCTGCTGCCAAATCACACACATTATCCAAATTTCGACATTCTGAACATAATACACATTCCCACAGAATTACTCATTTTCTTGAAGCCTAAACAAACACTTCATCTTCCTGTGTGCTTCTCTTTGCTCCTTGTTTGTGTTTCTGCCTTTCTGTGCCAATCCCATTCCCTGCTCTCCAAAAGCTCTCCATGTGCCAACCGAGTGGATGTCAAGGAGCACTGAGTATCTCCCTTTAAACCCATCCTTGCAATTCATTTTTCACAAGAGTTTCTATTTTGCAAACTGACAGATGTCCTCAAGCTGTTTCTGCCTCCCATCTCCCTGTGCTTCTTGTCTGCATAAATTAAAAACAAGCCTTAGGGTTGGAACCTCTTTCCAACACAAGAGGAGCGTGTATTTATTCATATACCATGACAAAGTAGTCATCACAGCCTAATATTTGTAAAGAATAATATAAAACAAATTAGTTTTATCATGAGAGGAGTAGCACTATAATCTCCTTCAACAGAAAAGTTTTGATTTTGTGGTAAATCCATCAAAAGGTCCACAGGCACCTTTCATCCTAAAAGCTGACCTGAAACAAGATAATGCATATTTTGGGACAGATGCTTGCCAAAACAGCTCCTCTGGGTATGCATTTGCAAGGAAAAAAATTAATTAGGGTAATGTCTGACCTACATTCACATAGGCAAAATTTACTCTGTAGGATGCAGGAAAAGGGAAGTGAAATGTGGGGCTCTTTGGCTGTGGATTTCCCCTCTAAGCTCAATGGGAGCTGCTCTTTCCCCTTTGGATGTCCTGCATTGCAACCCACATTTATGAAAATGTTTACTGTAGCAAAATCCTTGAAATTTAAATAACTTATCTTCAAAAATACATTGTTTTTTTCCCCCATACTACACGATGTCCCAGCACCAAGAGATAAAAGTGGTTATTTTATATCCTCTAACTGAGGAGACAACAGCTGGCTTATTTAAAATTAAGGTACATTTTTTTAAACTTTGAATTTATTTTACAAATAATTGTATTATTTAAACATTTTATGCCTTCAGAACATTTAGTAAAACATCCCTGGCTACATGACCACATCAATAAAGTGAACCCTGATATGCCAGGGCAGGGAGAGACGTCTTCAAACCAAATACAAGTGATGGGATCGTAAGGAAAAAAAAAACGAGTTTGCTTTAACACAAACACCAGAAAATGCTTTTAAAAGCCTACAAAGAACAAGTATCTTCCATTCACAGCCTGCAATGCTGAGTGTGGATGTTCTCATTTGTTCCTCTGACTCATTTTTTGGCACAGGCTGTTCAGAGCTTTTCTGCAGCAAGGAGATGCTTCGAGTTTCTTACTCAACAGCTGATCAACGGCAGAGCTGGTTTTCAAAATGCTTTTAATATTTGGATAACCCAAGAATAAATAAGTGATAGGACAATTTTCACACACTGATATAACTTGTAATAAAAGCCCTTACCTTTGGGTGGCTCCTACTGTTCCCCAATGCATCAGGAGCAGAAAGGATTTGGTACAAGGTCAGGGGAAGAAAAGAAAAAGAAAAAACAGAAACAAGGTCTGTTACTTGTGATTTTAACTTAATTATGCTTTCACTAATCACTGAAATGCTGCATATTAAAAGTTCATATTTCTCCTCAGATCTGTCCTTGCTTACAGACCCCAAGTCATTTTATAAACCTTTTTAGGAGGAAGATTTGAGATCCTGCTCTAAGTTGGCTTTAAATTCAAACCAATCAATTTTCCTCATGTTGCCACCACCTCTTCCTTGTTCTCTCCCAGGTTTATTTTTGTGGTGACAGCTCTCTCTCTCTCTCTCTCTCTCTCTCTCTCTCTCTCTGAGTGTCACTGCCTCTTAAAAAACAAAGTACCCAAGCAACATAAAAATTTCCAAAACCACTTGAACAGGAACTTCAGGAGTGTTATTCAAGAGGAAATTTCAGAGTCCAACCCTTGGGCTTGCCCAGCTCAGCTCTCTCACGGTTGCTCAGACAGCAGAGCAAACATTTGCTTCCCTAAAAGAATGAGCAGAGAACAGCAATTCCTCTCATCTGTTCTGTGCAGAATTTAAAAGTTTGGGGGTTTTTTGTTTGTTTTTGAACAAACAAATACAAAATCACTGGAGTGACCTTTCAAATAACAGCACAGCATCAGTCAGTGCCCTGACCCAGGTTATGCATGTCAGAGACTGGAAAAAAAGCAGTAAACACACAACAAACCACTGATATTTTCCTTGTCCTGGACATTCCACGTGACATTAGGAAACTCTTGACATCAGTAACGAGTAAAGTCTTGTGACAAGCAACACTGATTCCTTTTGAACAGAGCAGGAGAAAGACGTGGGAGCCATACAAGATTACCCTCAGAAGTCTTGCTGCTCACATGGGTTGAGAAGCCAGCTTAAAAATAGTCATTTCATCATTGCCTCTCAAAAATAATTATTTATTAAACCCATCACCTCTCTTTACTCATGCCTGGATCTACTGTGTGCATGTGTGTGACAGACCAGGAACCAAAGTGACCTTGGAGAGCTGTCGGCATGACCTGCTCTGCAGGATGATTATTTAAGTCAAGGTCACCCCATGTCACAGGGTCATTCATGTCAGCAATAACAACATGTCCCCTTCTCCCCTGCCATCTGGATCAGTTGGAATAAAAGCTCTCCCAAGGTCCCTGGCAGCACGTTTGGTGTGGACTGTTGCAGATGCTCCTGGGGGGGACGTAGATAAGGAGGTGTATTGAGGGAATCTCCTCCATCAGGGTTTTGATCCAGACACAGGAGACATCAGAGAGCCCTTGTGGATTCTTCTATGAGAGACACGAGAGCATTTTCATGGCTTTCTGTGCTCCACTAAGCATTTTGCTGAAGGACTTTGCTGGAAACTGCTAAGTGGCTTTTCGGGGAGCTCCTGCTGACAGGGCAGGTTAATTCCTATTCCTACAGGACGAGCATTCTTGTTGTAAAATAAAGAGACTAACGAGCCTGGATTCAGAGTTTGAGTTTAGCACTCAGAGATATGACTCTGCTTTTCATTCAAGCAGCTGTGCTCACATTCCCCAGCCCAATTCCAAGGCAGGATTATATTGTGACAATGCAATTGGTCTTTCCAGCCCTCAGTACTGGACGTATTATTGAGTATTTGGGTTAAAACAGCAATAAGGATCTAATCTGAGAAGTTCTATCACATATCCAGTTTTAAGAGGATGGATTATGCTGGGCTATGTATCACTGAGCTTAATTTAAGGTGTTTAGTCTGAACTAAGTATCTCATTTTCTCTAGAGCAGCACAAACACATAAAACCACGTCTCTGGTCTTGCTTAATCCAAACGTGAGCCCTAAGAAACCCAGAGCACAGAATTTAGGATACAGCACAGCTACACAGAGCTGTGTTCTGTGCACTTTTGACCACGAAGAGAATAAATGGGACAAATGTTTCCCCAAGGAAAGCATTAAGGGTGCAGCCTGCATGGCACAGCATTGTGCTGTGCACACACCAACCCATTAACGCTGCAGCTGCGTGCTGGGCCCACAAACCCATGAAAAGATTTCCAGCCTGATCCTAAATCCCTTGGGAAATGAACAGATAGGGAAATAGGGTACCCACAGCAGGCTCTTTAGCTACAAGGGCACACTGGGAGTGCTGGGTGCCTGTGCCCAAGTGCATCATCACAGTCCATGCCACGGGAGATGAAAAGGTAAAGACTAAGAACAGCATCACCTACAGAGCAGGGAAGTGTTTCCTACAAAAACCATGGATAACAGCAATGTTTGTAAAGAACAGGGAGCTGATTCTTCCCCCCTATTCTGCTCTTGTAAGACCCCACCTGGAGTCCTGTGTACAGTTCTGGTGCCCCCCACATAAGGAGGACATGGAACTGTTGGAGCAAGTCCAGAGGAGGCCACAAAGTTGATAAGAGGACTGGGGCACTTCCCCTATGGAAACAGGTTGAGAAAGTTCAGGCTGTTCAGCCTGGAGAAGAGAAGGTTGTGTGGAGACCTCAGAGAAACTTTCCAGAATCTGAAGGGGCCTCAAGGGAAGCCAGAGAGGGACCCTTTGTCAGGAACTGTAGGGAGAGGAAAAGGAGTAATGGGTTCAAATGGAAGAGGGGAAAGTTAGGTTAGATATATGGAAGAAATTCTTGGCTGTGAGGGTGGGGAGGCCCTGGCACAGGTTGCCCAGAGAAGCTGTGGCTGCCCCATCCCTGGAAGTGTTTAAGGAAAGGTTGGATGGGGCTTGGAGCAACCTGGGCCAGTGGAAGGTGTCCCTGCCCATGGCACGGGGTTGGAATGAGCCAATCTTTCAGGTCCTTTCCAACCCAAACCATTCTGGGATTCCATGATTTCCTATGGACAAGGCTGGCATTAGCAAGAAACCCCAGAGAATCCCAACCCTGACAACTTGTAATGAATAGCAGAGAACCATGAGTAAGTAGTTCTAAAGCAGCAAAGGTCACTACAGTTGTGTCCCTGCAAACTGCTCACACCAGAGCCATGTCCAAACCAGTGTCTGCAGGGCAGGGAGGGAAAAGGAGCACATCAAGACTGTGACAGTCCCCAAGGATGCTGCCATTCCAAGGGACAGGCAGGACTCACTGTGGCTCCTTGGCTGACAGCCAACAATTCACATCTATCTCGAGTGCAGCAGAAACAGCCAGGACAGGAAGGGAAAACTTATCTTTTAGCTACTGAGGGATGTCACTGAGATGTTTTCAGCTACTTGTTTTCACCTGGATCCAGACTGACAGGACTCTCTTTTGCCAGCTCCCCCCTTTTATCTCTTCTCAGCTCAATGCCAAACAGAAGCAGGGGGAGTCTAATGTATCTGATTTGATTCTAAAATTAAAAAGGGAGAAAGAACACTCTAAAACAACAGCCTCCATTTAACACTATTTTATTTGTTGCAGCCAATGGTAGGGGGTTGGAACAAGATGGTCTTTAAGGTCCCTTCCAACTCAAACCCTTTTGTGATTCCATGAATATATCTGCTGCTTTGAGATTAAATTGAAGACTGAGTAAGCATTTCTTTTTAAACTATCTCTTTCACCGTGTAAATGTGTCCAGATCAAGCTTTTTGATCAGGACACATTTGCTTTCCTATAAACATGCTGGTGGCTCCACAAATCTTAGGCACAGTTTAAAAAGATGGATAAAATGAGAGCAGGTCCCAGCTGAGACCATCAGTACATGTGCAATATGCTTCTGTTTCTTTAAAGAAGAGAATAATTAAATTATATATTCAAACACAATAAACTCCTCTGTTCAATAACAGTGATTAGTGGCATTTTAATAAAACACCAGATCAGTTTTTCCCTGTTCAAAAGGGGAAGGAAAGTATAATGAGCTTAAGTACATCTGAGATTTTGCAAATCTCATGGGGAAAACACTCCAGCAGATGAGCAGAGGTGAACCAAGCCTGGGAAGAGGCAAGGACAGCTCAGCCCTTATCTCTTCTGTCTGGCTGACCCCACAGCTCCCAGATAGCAGCCAGCTGGCAAATCAGCACATGCTCTAAATCAGTCACAGCACATTTCCCTTCTTGTCTAAATCAGAAACGGGCAGATGGGGCAAAGGGAGGAGAAAGGTGGGAGGTGGCAAGGCAGGAAGCAGGGAAAGGAGGTACAGAGGCTGTAGGACATGAGCTGACACGCCAGGCATGGGTTTTCTCCTCTGTATTTTGTTGAAAAAGAACGTTTCCTGTGCCAACAGCGACTGCAACAACATCCAAACTATACATTTGGCTGATACTGCCCAGTGGCACAAGGCTATGATGGATTTATGGAGCTGAAACATAACCTTTTGTCATTTTCAGAAGGTTCTGGAATAGCAAAATATAATACAAATTTGAAGGTTAAAAAAAAAAAGAGAGAGAGGGAACAATTCCAACTATGAAAATCTCAGCAAATCTCCAAAAATTCTTATTGCCTTCCACTTTCAATCTTCCATAACCATTGCAAAAACAAGCATATCAAATTCCAGTGTAATTAGTGCTGTTTTATGCCCTTCAGCAGGAGCTGCTTGGCAAAAACTCTACAAAGTAGCTAAAAATACAACTAGAAAAACACAGAGGGGCAAAAACTCCTTGGGGCTCAGCAGGGAAAGGTGTTGGTGTCTCCCAGAGATCACTCCATAAAGCCACATCTTTCTGCTCCCAGCTGAGTTAGTTTGCCTTAAATCAACTCATATTCACACTCATTTTATTTAAAGTAAAGTTGGCATCCTGTGTCACAGTAATTTACCCTTCAGATTCAGGAACAGCTCCACTTTGTAGGAAGTTCATTCTTTTGAAGTTTGTACAGATATAGTCCAAACCACTGTGTTTCTGATAGCTTTAAATCCAGGATCAGGTGGACTGTTCATACCCCACAGATCCTGTTATAACACTCACACCCATGATGCCTGCTCCATGCTTCCAGGGGAATTTGGAAGGCAAGTACCATGTTGCAACTGCACCTATGTGCCCATGGGAATTACAACAC